GTACATAATACTGTAGGGTGTGTCATCACAGGTTTATTATGACTACTTCTGCTGTCCGCTTTGGCTCTCCATAGAAAATCTAAAGTTAAAGTCTCAATGACTTGAAAAATAAGGGTTAAGTGCCCGGAGCCAAACACCTGTATATATTATCTATAGTTTACAGTGAATAATGCGAATGAACAGTTCCACTTATCCTACCTAAAGAAATCTGTGATAAGACTGAAGTTCAGTTAGTTGGAGATAATAGTTTTTGGAGAATTATGTGAGAACTGCAAGATGCACTCTGACTGGTGTTAGGACCAGTCCCACTGCTTCCTAAACAAAGATGTTTCTTTTTGAGTTAGTCATTTTTGTAAAGACAGATATTTTAGATAACAAAACCAAATATTTACATACTAAATGCTTTCCTAAATGAAAGAAGATTGAAAAAAGACCCAAAAGATAATGGTAGTAATACAGCTTTGTCAAGCCAACAGTTACCTCTGAGTCTTTTATATTGTGCATATCCAAACACATTTTCTCAAAATGGAGAGAAGGGTAAACTTGTAAAATATGATGTTTTAAAACAGCTGAGCAGATAGGTAGTGCTTGACTTGAGCTGTTACACTGACCTTCCAGATGTCTTCCTTTCTTAAGCAATCTGATGCTAATGGAGAATGAACATGTACAGATGAAGGGGGGTTTGAGCAGAAGATACTGTGTTATACCATCAGTATGGCAAGCCTTAATGGACTGTTCTGGGCTCCTATGTACAGAAATGGTCGTGGTAATATAAGATTTTGATAATGTGGCACTATGGCAGCAGTATATTTAGAGGAAAAGAGTAGACCAGGTCTCTTCAACTATTCAGTCTCATAATTGGATACAAACATAACTACAAAGTATTTTTCTGTCTGTTTTTTGAGCAGGGGAGTTTGAAGTTGTACATTCAAGCAAGCAATCTGAAGAATCTTGGCAAAATGTCAAAGCCAAGGATAACCTTGAAACATCAGCTGAAGATTTGACAGTCAGAGGAACAAGGCTGGAAGTTCAGCAGAAGTTAAAATCCAGGAGTTTATTTTGTGCTCATCTATTAAAACCAAAAATCTCTTCCAGCATGACAAAAATCCGCAATTATAATATTAAAGACTGATTTCTATGTTGTCAGCATGTTGTAGGTTCACACTTGCTATGAACTTACTTTGACATCTGTATATCAGGTCTAATTATCAGCCTCAGTTTTGTATGTCAGGTTGAGATATTTGCCGCCGGAAGAGAGAACAAATACCCTGCTTCATACAGAGAAGCCTAAAATAAAGGGTTAATCTGTGTGCATTATGAGGTTACAATCTTTGTTGTTGATACTGATTTATTTTAATTATATATATTAAGATTTTCTTGCATCATGGATTTAGAAATGCTCAGTTAACACATAGGTAAAGCCTTGTGCCTTCAGGCAGGACTTGCACGACTTCAACAGATGTTTTGTTGAGAAACTATAGATGTGATTTAAGCTTAGAAGTGGGATGCCTCAACCTACTTGTCTTCTAAATAACAATGCAACCGTTAATCCTGTGCAGCTATCTTTCTACTTGATAGAAAGGGGTTTCAAAAGATTGCATCTGAGTCTGTATTATTTCTCATCTTCTCATCTTCTGTAGCTCTTTCCACTTGTTCAGAGAGCATGAAAGAATATAAAATTAAATTTCTATTGTCACACCAGTGATTGCATTTTCCCTTGACAAGAGATTGTTTGGACTTCAAAGCAGTGACAAACACTGCTACAATGTTAGAATCATATATTCATAATAATACAGACATGTTGTAAGAAGTAAGTCTTAAAATAGATGAAACTAGAAGAAAACTTGAATGAGTTGTGATGTAAGAAAGGATAGCTATGTAGTAATGATCATGCCAGGATACTAATACAAGTGTTCTGGCTATGTTTAAAAAAATCATTATTTTTGTAGCATTTCCAGTCATGCTGAGCTGTCCTGCAACATTATAGAGATGACCTTTCCTATAAGTAAAGGAAATGCACATGAAAAATTAAATAAAAAACTTTTAATTGTGGGGATGGTCAAGCACTGGAACAGATTGCCTGGACGAGGTATGGGGTCTCTGTCTGTGGAGATACTCAAAACTCAACTGGACATGGGCCTGGCCAGACCGTTCCAGCTGACCCTTGAGTTGAGGGCTTGGACTAAGTGATGTCAAGAGGTACCTTCCAATCTAAGAGATTCTGTGATTCTGCAAGTGGTATCACTGAAGTGAATAGTACTTATCAGGTGCTGCTAAATATATAAAATCTAAAAAGGAAAAATGAAGGAAGAAAGCTACTTATGCATAAGTGGTTTTTTTGTGGAGTGTTTTTTTATAGAAATGCTTGCCTGATACACTTTGCAAAGAAGTGTTCTCTTCAGCACCTGATAATATGCTGAAGAGCATTTGAGAATTGGAATAATTATTTTGTACTACCTGCTGAAAATATTCTGCTTTAGTGCAAAGGTGCAGTAATATTATAATCAGATGCTAGAAATATGCAATTTCATGAGATTTCAAATTTCATGACATGTTGCTAAGTTAATATAAGGCCTGAGAGACCTTGTGAGCTTCTTTCTAAACATTTTCATTACTTGAAAATCCTGTCATTTGATTCAACATTGTTCAAAAGCCAGGACAACATGATGCACTCCCTTGAACCAGGCCCTGAATGAGTTCTTTCTGTAGCACAAAGCATAGTGGTTTCTAACAACTACAGGAATTTTGGCCCGGATCACACCAGTTAAAGCACTCACTGGTTATTTCTAGAACTCAATGTGTAAATTCCAGATTTTATAATAGCTGTAGATCATCCTGAAAATGTTTTTGTTATTTACGTGTTTAATATTGACCTACAGAGATGCAAAATAGTTTGGTGGTATGAGATTCTGTGCATGTTAAAAGCAGCATAAAAGAGCAGTTTGTTCCATGGTATTTGTAATACTACATCTGAACCTGGAAAACATTTCTCTTTATTCCTTACACCGTAAGTGTAAGCTAATGGGCTGCAGACTTCAGAAATGCCGTTGTGTAGGTTTGTATGCAGGTTTCTGTGGCTTGTTTGTTTGTTTGTTTGCTTGTTTGAGGGTGTTCTGTTGGGTTTTTTTGGGGGAGGGGGTTGGTATGGGTTTTTTTGTTTTGGTTTGGGTTTTGGGGGGGTTTTTTGGTTTTTATTTGTGGTTGTTTGGTGTGGTGTCCCACTTACTCCCCCTCCCATGTCAACTGGCATGCCTGTTCATGCAAATGTCTTGCCAGTAATGCAGCTTTAATTTATTCAGTTTCCCTGAGAAACAGGTTTCCTTAAGTCAACTGTAGGTAAGGAAAGATGATTGCTGGGTTGTTTCATTTTATTTTATTTGTAGTAGAAAAAAAAGTAGTTGAGTTATTGAACAGAGTACATCTGAGAACATAGCATGTAAGTATGAAAATTAACAAAACATGCATAATAATAAATAATATGGACATACTGTGTGGGGCAGTTGTGCTAAGGGTGTACTAAATACAGCAGGAAAATTCTCATATATTTCTCTTATGACCAAAATATTTAACAAACTGGGCACTGATTTCTAAGAAGCAGATTAGAAGAGTGGCAGCAAGGTACTACTGTGGACGCTATTGAATTGTACAAAGAAAGGAATGCCTACAAAGAAGAGAATTCAAGCAGATCACAGAGTACTGAAAAGGTAAAAGAGGACATTATTTATTGCTGTCCTTATCAAAGGGTTAAAAACCTGTTATGTTGAGGAATATATAAAGGCAAAAAGTCTGCCCGAGAAGGTCTAAATGGAGCTGTATTGCGAAGCGGCAGTGCAAGCGCGACCCGGGAGCGGGGCCTCTGCCCGGAGCCTGTTCAAAGCCATGAGGGAGAGACAAGGAGGGGAGACTTTCCTGCGTCCCCGTGTTCAAGCCCACATTTGCCGACCGAAAGACTTTTTTTGTTTCGGAGAGGCAGTCGTAGGCAATACACAAGAAATTTGAGATTCGTTACTGTTCGTGTTTACCGAAGGAGTGCAAGTTAAGGGAAAGTGGATGAGAGGTGCCGGCACGCAGAGCGACCCGCCCCGTTCCGGTGGGAAGGGGGGCGTAGCAGGGGCACGGCGGGGAGGGAACCTCTGGCGCCCGCCCCCCGCCTCCGGACTCGCTCTGCTGCCGCCAGTCAGAGCGGCGCGACGGGCCTGGGCACGGGGCAGCGCATCCCTGGCCGGCGTGCCTGCTGCCCTGTGGTAACCCCGGGACCGCGCTCCGCCGGGGTGAACGACCGCCGCCGCCGGAGAGCGATGGGCGCTGCTCGCTCTGCCTGCGGCCCCAGCCACCCCTCAGCCGTCACCACATCGCCTTATCGCTTAGCAACACCGCGCGGGCCCGCGATTGGCAGGGCCGCGCCCCCGCCCACGTTCCCCCGCCTCCGCATTGGGTGCCGTCCCGGGATTGCGCGTCCTGCCCCGCGTCCTTTCCCATTGTGCGCCGCGGATGCGCGCGGGCGCTGCGCGATCCCACCGCCCTTGGACTGGCGCCCGTCGAGCCTTCGCCTCAGTCGCCGAGCCACGGTGCCGGCACGGCGCGGTCGTACGCCCCACAGTGTACCTACCCGCGGGGAGGTGGGAGAGGGACACGACAAGGTCCGCGCCCACGGGGGATCGGCGCTGCCGCGTCCCCGGCCAGGCCAGGCCAAAGCCAGGCACGCCCGCAGCGCCTAGTCTTCCACGGCCTCCAGTACGGGGCGGTGCAGGGCGCGAGAGCTTGGCCCGGTGCCCGAGGGCAAGCGGGCCCGCCTCTGTCCGCCCCGGCCTGGCCAGGGCCCCCTCCTCCCGCGGAGCGGCTCTGGCGGACAGGGGTTGGCATCACCCCGGGTCTGACCGGGGCGGCCCTGCCCCGGCTCTCATTGGACTGCGGCGAGGCGTAAACTGTCAGCCCATGTGGCGTGGCCGCTGGAGGTGGCGACTGCTTAAATAGGAGTGGGAGCTAGAGGGAGATAGTGAGGAGAGCGCGGAGTATCGGCCGTGCGCAGCCCGGCACCCGCCGCCGCAGCGTCCACCCCGCAGCATCTCGATCCCGCACTGAGCTGACGACGGAGTGTTACCGACACGAAGCCATCCGCACTTGTACAGGTATCGGCGGGAGAGCGGCTGCGGCGTGGTCAGGAGAGCGGCAGCTTCTGCTCCAGGCTCCGCGGGCCGCTGTGCCCCGCCGGTGCGCTGGGGAGGCTCCATCTTGCCCTCTGCGCCGGGTAGCCGATGAGGGTCCCTGGGCTCGGCGTGAGTCCGCGGGCTCGGTCCGCGCGACCGGAAGGTTCTGCTCCCGGCCCTGGGGTTGCCGCGCCCTGTTGCTGCGGGCCGCTCTCTCGTGGCCCACCGCGGTCGTTCTGGGGACAGTCCCCCACTTCAGCGGCCGGTTACCGCGCCGCAGCCTCGCACTCCGCCCGCCCGGCAAGGTGGCTGCATTGTGGTGCTGGCGCTCGGCCATCTTGGTGGCGGACGGGGCCTGTCCCGCCGCCACGGCCGCGACCTCCCGCAGCCGGGCCGAGCGGGATCGGGAACGCGGCCGGGCCCCGCTGTCCGCAGTCCTCGCGCGCGCCCGGCGGCAGCAGCAGCTGCGTGAGGGGCCGCGCCCGCCGCGGGCCGGGTGGCCTCGCGCTGCCGCAGCTCGGGCGCCGAGCTCCGCCCGGCCTCGAGTGGGCGCCAGGGCCGCACGGGCCGCTCTGCCCGGGCAGCGGGGCCGCGTTCTGCACGCCGTCCCGGGTTAGCGCGAAGGCACGGTCCTGGCAGGCTGAAGAAGCTTGTGCGGGAGGATATCGGCGCTCGATATTGGGAAGGGAAATTCGCCAGTAGGTTCTGGGAATCCATCTAAGAAAACGTGCCGTGTGTATTGCTAAACTGTTCTTTCCCACTTCAGTATAAACCAGCGGCCCACACGAAATAGCCCGGTGATCGTACACCAGTATGGATTTGACGATGCGTTTCTATTAGGAATGTGATCTCTCTTTGGTTGGTTTTGCACCTGCTTGGTTCTTAGTCCGAATTCCTTCCCTGGAACACAGCCCTATAAGATACCAAATGCGTATTGTCCTGGCTAATAGCTTTATTTGGATGCTTAAATTTAAACAGGCAGTGTTAAGGGTGTGTAAATTGCCTGCTCCGTCAGACCACCTTTGGGGGCTTTGGAGTATGTCTTGTCTTAAAAAATGGGAGAAGAAACCTCAAGCCACGTGAGCAAAGGATTCACCTTTTCCTGCAGCCTCTATCCTTCTTGAAACAAAGTGAAAAGAATAGTACATTGTGAAAGGCTGCATTTAGTGGGTGAATTCAGAGAATGAGGGCAGTTATGAACAGCTGTTTTACAAACATGATATAGTCATACTGGGGACTTTAGATTTTTATACAGGTAACTTCTGACAACTTGGGAATCAACCAAGCTGTGTTGATTCCATGAATAAAGCCTAATTTACTCTTTCTCCAGTTACAGATTTGAACTACATTGCATTTCCCCCTAAGTAGTGCTTTTTAAATATAAACACAATCTACTGCTTTTCATTTGTGTTGTGGTTGACAGGACAAATACTTACCTGAAGCAGAGGCATTTGAAAGGTCTTTGTTAAATTGAATCTGTAACATACAGATTGATGGTAGCCAAATGCTGTCAAAAGAATGAAAGCCAGACTGTGTTTGCCTCTCTTCTGTGAATGGGGTTTTTGGAGGCAAGCGTTATAACTCTTTGTAAGTTCAGTTTCTGTGTAAGGACAGTTTATTACAAATTTTAGAAATGATAGCCAGAGATTAGGAAACCTGGGTTGTGATGTAATCATACTGAAAAACAAAGAAAACAGTCCTTTTGTCAATATCTCTGCTGAGGAAGGCTATGGAGGAGTCATGAGTGTTTCATTTTACAATAGTGAGAGATCCAGAAGAGGTGAAGATTTGGACTGTCTAGAAACAATAGCAGAACTAACTTTAAGGATTCTGTTCCACCATGATGAGAGCTATCAAAATAACAGTGAAATAAATACTTTGATCCCAAGAAAAGGAAATGTGCATCAGGCAAAACAAGATTTGGGTTTTATTTATCATTCCTTTGCAAACAGCTGTTTCTCCCTCCCTCTCCCCTTCCTTTCTTCACCAAACCCTAGGTGAACAAGGTACAGCAGAATAAGTTTATGTCCAGTGGTTGGCAAGTCAAGTATGAGCAGGCAAAGGCATCAGATTATACCTTCACTTCGTGGTTTGGTTTTGGATTTTTTGGCTTTTCTTTCTCTCTAAAAGCTTATATGCTTAATGGTCCAAGGGTAATTTCTGTAGGGAAGCAGTAGAGAAAAGTATTGTAAAAAAGTTGTACAGCTGCCAGGGATGGTAGAAAATGATGGTTAATACTTTTTAAATTAATTTTTGGTGCCCAGTTAGTGAGGGACTGGAAAAAATATTTTAAAGGCAATAGAAAACAGTATTTCAACTTAAGAGCAGCTTTGATACCAGAAGGGATTGTTAGTTATTACTAGTCACAAACTGAATGAGTCAGCAACACAATAGAATTGCTAAAAAATATTGTGCAAATCCAGCAAGATGGTAGTTTAGGCTTAACTGAGGTGTCTACTGCACCGATACTTTGAGGGGAAGGGAGGGAAGGGAAGGTCAGCTGTAGTGTGTTTGCTTCTCTCCACTCAAAAAGGCTAGCTGTCTGAGGAGAATTCACAAACTCAGTTCAAGCAAACGCATAGGATAAACTGAGGAAGAAGAATGGTAGATGTCTGGTTGGATTCAGAAAATACAGCCTTAAGAAACAGAAGACTCCTGTTTGTCCCTCTTTATCTTCTTTGTCTCCTATTTGGACCTGTTGCTTTTGAACACTTCACTCATCAGAGGTAGTAGGAGCAATCTGTTTGTATGTTTTCTGTAGTCTAATCTCCTTTAGAACATCTGTAGAAATAAATGTTCTTTCTTGATCTGTGCTATGCCCTATACTTGAAAATCTGTCAATGTACTGTGTTGCTGCATATAGTCAAAAAATGCTCTATGGAAAACACGTCTCTAATAAAGTAAAATAATAATGCAATACACCATTTGGGGGCAAAGACAATCAACTTTAAAATGGTTTACCTGCTTACTATCTGTCAAGGAAGACTGAAAACATTGTTGGTAACTGTAACAACTACTGTAATCACTGTTTAATTGGGGATGGCTTAATATTCATGACTTTTCTTCTGACCACTCTTGTTTTTCAACAGCAGATGCTCTCTGCTGTCTGCTGCTTAATCCATAATTTTTATTTTATCTTAGATGTATGCATTTGGAGCTCTTTGTGGCAAGTCTGAATCTTCTGGTTCTTTGTGTATTAAAATATTTTAATTTGTGGCTCTTCTTACCCAAGTTAAAATTATCTTCTTGGCTCTTATTCTTCTAATTTTGATTACTGCAACATCTTTTTCTCCACCTTTGACATAGTCTTGCTCAACTACATTCAAAACAAGTTGGCAAAAATTGTTTTGTTAATGAATTTTATTACTTCACTGTCTGAAAGCAATGTTTTGTGGATTGGTTTTACCCAGATAGAGTTTTTCTGATACTTCCGGAAAAGAGATGTGGGATGAGAAGGAACAATCAGATAAGTCATGTTTCAGTCCCCTGAAACAGAAATTATATTTCTTTCCCTAGAGATCATCACCCAAAGAGCTGAGGTATAAAATTGGGTCATACTTAAGTTATCGTTCTTGTATCTCATATCTTAAACTTAAATAGTACACTTTGTGCCCAAGATCTCTCTTTCCCTGCCCCAGCACAGAAATGCTGAAAGTGTAGTAGACTTGTGGCCCTGGGTTGGTTTTCATAGGTACAGTGATGAAGCCAGTAATAAAACTGACTTGCTAGTTTTGTGTGAGTGGTAAAGCTCTTCAGCTCTGAGTGGACTGGGCCTATTACTACCGACTTAAGTTTTGGGGACTAGTTTCTCAGTAAGGGCTTTGCTCGTTTTGGCCTTAATGTTTTTGGCTTTTTTTTTAAACGAACAAGAGTTGAATAGACCTTCTGTTGCTTGGGTGTTTGACACAAGACCTAGAAATCCAAGATGTCCTTGTGGGAGCGCTTGTTTCTGCTCCCAGAAGGAATGGACTGGGTGAAGTAATCATCTCTTCTGCTTCGGTGTTAGGTATTGCATAATTCCACAGTTACTCCACAGATGTGAATCAGGATTACTGCTGAAAGAAAGAAGGGTGAAAGAAATCGGGCAGCCTCTGTGGTGTTACGTTCTGGCTGAGCTACACCTCAGCTGTACGGAGGCTCTGCTTTCCTTCTGCACAGCCCAGCAACCTCGTGCAGCTATGGGAAAGTGTCATTGTGCCTGAGCAGTGTAGTCCGTGCATGGAAGAGGGGCCTGTTTCTTGCTCAAAGGCATCAGGAAGTCCCAAAAGAGGCTGCAAAACAATGCCCAAATGAAACGTACTGAGTTGGAAAACCAGCCACTAAGCACTCATCAGAGAGACTCCATTAGTGCTGTATTTTGGAGAAGATGATCAAGCACCAGCAGCACTTAAGCAATGGGCCTGCATGCCACTATGTAGCATAATACCTGATGGAAGTCAAACTTCAGGTCTTTCATAACAAACCTTTTCCTTCAAAGTTTTTAAGGCAGACTTGCAGTTGTTTGAATGCCTAGTTTCCTTTGTGTTTTTTACTTGTTTAAAATCCCATGCATTAAAGAATAGTTTGCCTCTGCTTACCAGAAGGATTATTTAAGGAAGTACTGTGAATGTTTACTTTCTCTTTGGTTCCTGCAGCTGCAACTTTTATTTATTTTCATATTTAAAAAAGCTCCCCTCATATATATGGGTATTTCCACTACTCCTTTAACTTGCCTACTTAGGATCTAAAATTATAATTTGAATTTAACTTAAACATCAAGTTACCTTGCCTCCTCTCTACTTAGTTGTTAATAGGTTTTTTACTGTCGTAGAAGATAAAGGAATGTATTATACGAGCTATCATTTGGTGCTGTGGTCTGATACAGGTGCCCTGCCATGCTTTGTTATGCAGCATGATGCTCTCCTGTGGTATTTGAGATTGGGATGTTGAATACAAATTTCTTGGGACAACGGCTGATGGTTTTCATCCTGTATGTATTCCAGATCTGTTCTGCCAAAGCATATCTTAAAGCACCACTCTCTATCATACAGTCAGTACCACATTCACAGTTCTTTAAACATGTGGCAGTGCAGAGTCCAGTTAGGAAACACTTTAGATGTAACACTTAATTCTTTGGTTTTAACATTTAAAATTATCCTGAATTGTACTGTAATCTTTGTGTTTTGTGTGGGTTTTCTCCTCTGTGTGTTTATAGGGGGGTTGTTTGGTTTTTTGTTGTTTGGTAGGTTTGGTTTGGGGTTTTTAGTCAGGTTTTTGTTTGCTCAGAGTTATTGGGGGGGGTTAGGGTTGTGTTACTTACCTGGGGGGGTGGTTTTGTGCAGTCTTGTAGTTTTGTTTGTTTGGGGTTGGTTTTTTTTTCACATCCAACAAATCTTTTGATTATTGATTCTTAAGTTAGCATTTAACTTCGGAATGATTGTAGAACTTGTTTTGCTACCTGTTAGGTTTGCCTTGTAATTATGTATTTTACTATATGTATTTCATAATTTCTCCACCCACCTGTGCTCCAGCATGTTAATCTTTCTTCTCTGCTGACTTCACAGAGGCTCCACATTTAGTAGAGGTAGATTTACTCATTTTCTGATTGTCATACAGAAACTGGTGGTTCTCTGAGCCTGATGCTCCTTCAGGATCGGGTTTTTTTCATCCTTATCAACCCCACAGGTCTTATGGTCCATTTGATTAGTTGGGATATCTTTTTCTTTTTATTTTAATAGTAGAGACTCCGTGGGTTGTTCCTGTGTGGGTGTTCCTGCAAATATGCTTGTTTGTCACAACATGTCAGGAAGACAAGACACATATACTTTCCTCTGTGTGAAGTCTTACTAGCCTTATTGCTTTGTGGATCTCAGCAACAGGGAGAAGTTAAGAGATGGAGGACGTGGTGATTGCAGGCATTGCAGGAAGGCTGCCAGAATCTGACAACTTGCAGGAGTTTTGGGAAAACCTGCTTAATGGAGTTGATATGGTCACAGAGGATGATCGGAGGTGGAAACCAGGTGAGTGCTTATTGTCCCTCCTTTTGGAGCGCTGAGTTCTGAGTGTTTTAGAGGAATTATCCTATGAAAAGAGAATTTATGAGATTGAAATCCTTCCAGACCTGAATTAACTTCTGGTAAATCATCGAGAAATTCCGTAACAGAATACTTTTTTGAAGTGATTTGCAGAAGTCAAAAGCAGCTTTTCTTTTTCTTTTAATTAGTGACTGACTGGAACCACTGCTTAGACTATATGTGCTTGGTACAACTTGCCAAATTAAAAATGGTTAAACTGGATAGTTGTCTTTTGCTGCTATATCCAGGGAAATCCTAAAAATTACAATTGTTTTTGCTAATGCAGCATTCTCATTCCCAGATGAGGTAGGTCAGTAGATACTCATGCAGCCCTCTGAGTACTGCATGTGGGAGTGAGGTTTCATGTGTAATTGAAAATCAACTGTGGTCATTCTGTACTGTCTCTCAGCTTGTAGCTGCTTCACCGTTTATGGATTTTGGGACTCTGTCAAATTTTTCTTCCCAGGAATTTATGGACTGCCCAAGAGAAATGGAAAGCTCAAGGACCTAAGCAAATTTGATGCCTCTTTTTTTGGGGTTCACCCCAAACAAGCTAACACAATGGATCCTCAACTTCGCTTGTTGTTGGAAGTTTCTTATGAAGCTATTTTGGATGGAGGTAAGTGGCTGAATGACTGAAGAGGGAGAATTAAGCTGTATTGTCTCTCTGTAACAGGTGTAGACATGCACTTGTGTGATGAGAACTCTGACAAGGGAAAGCCATCACATTAGAGAGGAGATCCAAGACATGCTATGGGGTTACTAGATCCCAGTATAAGGGTTACAACAAAGCTGTTGTCTCTGGAACGCAAACAAAGAAATCAGTGCTGACTGCTAGTAAATCTGTACCTGTATCATATGGTACAACCACAAACCAGTATGACAAAATCACTTCAACAGTCAATGGTTCTAGAGCTTTTCTGTTTTCTTCTACCCTAACATTCCATAATAATTCCTTTGTAAAAGGAAAATAAGGATGACTTGATTAGAATTCTCATGCATGGTCTAAAAGAATGACAGATGGCCTGATGTATTCCTGTCTAATGGCCAGATTCTTGGAAAGCCTGTAGAATTTGATCTGTTCCTAAAGAAGGCTTTCCTAGGAAGTGTGCTTTCAGAAATAGGAGTCTCTCTCTTCTATCACTTGCCAGTGTTTTGAGATTTTGGGTTACTTATCCACCGAGCCAAGAAGTTTATTCTTCATGTTAATTAGTTTCTTGTCAGAACATAAGCAGATAGGGAAAAAGTTGGAACCACCTCACTAGTACTGACTAGTTACAAATTGAAAGAGGGTGAATTTAGGTTAGATATGAGGAAAAAATTCTTTACTATTAGGGTGGTGAGGTATTGGAAGACGTTGTTCAGGGAGGCTGCGGGTTCCCCAACCCTGGCAGTGTTCAAGGCCAGGTTGGGTAGGGTCTTGAGCAGTGTGGTATAGTCTAAGATGTCCCTGCCTGTGGCAGTGGGGGTTGGGACTAGATGATCTTTTAAGGTTCCTTCCAACACTTAACATTCTGTGACTTACTGAAATGAATTTTTGCTTCTCTGCTTGTAAGCCCCCATCTGGAGATGGAGTATTTGTCTCCAGAACGCCTTAAGCACAGAGAAGAAACAGCAGAGGTTTCTGACAGTAGACCTTGCCATGTGTTTTTTTTAGAGCAAAGTTGTTTCTTGTTCTGGTTGTTGGCTGGTTTTATACTTAAGAATTCTCATGTCTGTCTTGTACTCCAGATCTCAGCTGGAGATAGATACTGATGTGCTCACATGATTTTTCTCCCATTCAGTCTGCTCCTTTTCTCTCTGCTGGAAATCAACAGTTAGCTTCTCCTGTCAGCATTTGTACTTTTCATAGTCCATACACTTTTTTGCACAAGACTCTAGCAATGCCCAGCTAAGCTGAAAAGCTTTGTCAGGGCAAAGTATGTTCTGGTGGAAAGCCAATACCAAACTTCTGATGGACTCTGAAGTAAGACATGTAAGGTCTGCAGTTGAAACTGTTGAAAGGTTAGTAAGGGTAAGGGAACAATGCTGCAGGCCTGCCAGAAAGGGGCAATAAAAAGTTTTTGGGGAACTGATGCAAGTGAACCTGATATCTCCCCAGTTTGCCCTTCATTTTGTTTACTATAATCTACCTTCCAATCCCCATAGGTATTAATCCGGGCACCCTCCGTGGCACAGATGCAGGTGTATGGGTTGGTTGCAGTGGGTCAGAAGCTGGCGAAGCCTTTAGCCAAGATCCAGAAGAGCTTTTGGGATACAGTATGACTGGCTGTCAGCGTGCTATGCTTGCCAACAGGATTTCCTACTTCTTTGACTTTAAAGGTAAGTGTCCCCCAAACCTGTTGATGCTGATCAGCAATTGCAGTTTAAACATGATTGTACCACAGTTGCTGTAGAGGACTGGAATGGGTATTATGGCACAGATTCCTTTTGGAAAGAGAAAATAGCATGTAACCGTTCTTAGGAGGCATACGAAAAGTAAAAAATATGTAGTGACTATATGATAGGACTCCCTGTAAGGCTTTTTATAACTGAGCTGCTGCTGCTGGTGTTCATTTGAAAGGCAGTGATGTCAGGAAGCCTTTATGGCCTTTGGACTGCTGTTTTGTACCAAGATGTGTGGAAGTCGGCTAGACCAGAGATAGACTGCTGTTGATTGTAGCAGTTGGGGTTTTTTTTTGAGTAAAGTGGAAGAAGTAGGTGAGCCACAGAAATGATGCAATTGCCAGCATGGGTATGATTCAGTCCATGTATGGTATTGAAGGGAATGGAGAAATGGTAGTTGATGTGGATTGCAGCAGAGAACAGAGATAATGGCAAAGGCAGCATCAGGAAGGACAAGGGATTTTTATTGACGAGAATGGGTAATTAGATGAGACTTTGCTGTAAAGCTGTGTTCTCTTTTTGATGGAGAGACAGAATTTTTAAAAATGCCCTTAAAGCAAATCTGTTCACAATTTTTTCCCACTTTTCTCATGCCATACCTTCTAAGTAGGCAGAGATGGTGATTCTAGCCTCCCATGGCATCAGGTTTATGTGCTATGTTCTGAAGCAACTCTTATTTAACATTGTTTTTAATATGCTTCTTGTAATCCCATCCTGTCATCTTTGGAGAAGAATTTAGGATATTAAGGTTGTTTTTCCTTATGTTTTTTAAGGACCAAGCCTCACTGTTGACACAGCCTGCTCCTCTAGTCTTGTTGCTCTGGAAAACGCTTATAAGGCAATTCGTCATGGGCGGTGCAGTACAGCCCTAGTAGGCGGGGTCAACCTCTTGCTGAAACCCAACACATCTGTGCAGTTCATGAAACTGGGTCTGCTTAGTCCTGATGGTGCCTGCAAGGCTTTTGATGCTTCAGGTAAGGCATAAGTACAAAAGCTTATGTTGTACGAGAGTAACTTACTGTACAGTTTGTGACCAGCTACTCTTTCAATACAGCAAAGAGCTAACCTTGTAGTTGTTCCAATGTGCACTGTTTGGGCCATACCCTGATCTATGTTGCATCTTCTATTGAACCTGGAAAATTAACTGTGAGGAAGAAACTGATACATATGGTTCATCCCTCTGCCTCTGGAGAAAAAATAGCTGTCTCTTGATGGAAAATTTCTGTTGTGAAATTTATGATGAGCACTGTATCTTTCTAGGTCATGACATTTTTCTTTAAAAGAAATAGATCTGTCATATTCTCAAAACAGTCTATTATAAGCAGTAATCTTCCTGCATGGTGTTTGGCAACATTTTACAAAGCAAAGCAGAAGTCATGACTTGTTCCCTCTCTGTTCTCAGGAAATGGATATTGTCGCTCTGAAGCTGCTGTTGTTGTTCTTTTGACCAAGAGATCTATGGCTAAGAGGATCTATGCCACAGTTGTAAATGCTGGAGTTAACACTGATGGCTTTAAGGAGCAAGGTAGGTCTTGAGCTGCTGAAAAGTGAGATACCTACAGAACTGTTCAGTCTAGAGTCTTGGCCATAAAAAGTGGTCTGTTGTAGGGTTCTTTAGATGTTTTAGAAATTTTTTTTGTGTTTGGGGATTTTTTTTCATTTTCTGGTTTTGATAATGCAAAGTTCAGGACCCTGTTTTGTAAAAAACTTAAAGGAAAAAAGCGGTGGTTTTTACTGAAGTAATAGCAGTGTTCTCTTGCTAGTTCAGCATTCCTTAAGACATCTCTGCAGTAACTTCTGCAGTGATGGTAGAAATGTAGGTATAGTATTATAACTGTAAAGCTCTTACCCTGCTGTTGTCCAGCTTCTCCTGCTCTCCAATTGTGGTGACAGAAAGCTTCACATGTTTTACTTAACCTAGAAATCTAGTATTCTGTTAACCAGTATCTTTCCAACCTAGCCTAACTCATTGCTTTAGGTTAATTCCTGGTTCCTGTGCTCTTCTTACAAAGAGCCTGAGAGTTTGGTGCTAAGAACATGGTGAAAAGGTCTTTAGTTGGTTTTTGGGGAGAGACCTGGCAGCCTAAAGTAAATGAAAGGATGCTAAAATCAGAACAGGAGGTACCTGATAGGAGAGTGGAATTGATGGCAATTTTGATCCTAGGTGTGACATTCCCATCTGGACAGATGCAGGAGAAGTTGATCAGATCTTTGTACAGCGAAAGTGGTGTCAAACCTGAAGAAGTGGAGTATATTGAAGCTCATGGGACAGGCACCAAGGTCAGCATGGTCCCTTAGGGACTGAGTGTTTTCTTCCCTTGCATTTCTTGCCACACTTTCCATTAAATTATTCTTTGTTTTCCCAAAGTAAAATCCTTCTGCCTTCTACCAATTAGTAGAGTATATTCTGCTTCACAACTTTTGGACTTTGCCCAAACACCATAATCTTTCAGATTTCTCTTTTGGGGTGTGTTTTGGAAGTGCTGGCTAATAGCCATTCTGATTCTCTTCATACTAGGTTGGAGATCCACAGGAAGTAAACAGCATTACAAGTATCTTCTGTGACTGTGAGCGGGAGCCACTGTTGATCGGATCAACCAAGTCAAATATGGGTCATCCAGAGCCTGCCTCAGGGCTTGCTGCATTAGCTAAGGTAACAAGAGACTTGAGAAGGAAAATTTGGGATGGTGGGTAACACCAGTGTGTGGGGTTTTGTTTGTTTGGTTTAGGGAAAATCTGCATTGATTTCGGGTGTTCACTGATAATTATAAGAACTCAGATGTTTCTCATTAACTACTTGCCTCACATGTGAATACTTTTAAAAGCTCATGTGGCTGTCCAGCAAACCACCAAATGCTTAGGTGGCCCTCTGCTGTGTTCACACACTTCAGTTTCCGCTTCCTACTGAATTCTGTAGGAGCGTAGCTCTGCTCAGAATGAAGGCTTTGGGATCCTTTTGTTAATCCTTGTTGTTTACTTTGTCAGTCCTTACACTGGACCTTCCAACAGAGCTCTGCTGCAAGTCGTTTGGGTTTGAGGCACATACATGTAGAGAGATTTAGATGTTTGGAGTAGATGACAGTGACCAAAGATGAGAGGCAGTGTGGGCTTTCAGTGCCAAAAGAGCAGCTGATCTTCTGGCTTTCTGTCAGGGATGTGTCATCTCTTCCTCTTCTCTCTTAGGATGGCAGGAAGCCAGGTGAGTTCTCTGGGATGAGGCTACCAGCATGAATAACTGTGTGTCTGTCTGTCTTAGCAACCAGCTTGCTAACTACTGCTGTAGGCAGACAGTCATCTAGTGGCTCTGGCTGCTAAACTGCTTAGCAGAGAGCTAGCTAATGTTCACACTTGTTTGTAAGCCTATTACTATAGAACCTTGCAAACCAAAGTCACATATACTGCCACTGCTAGAATTTTAGACTCTTCGAAGTGGTTGCTTGTGACCCAAATACAACTCACTGTGTAGTAGCCTCACCTGCATGGCAATAGCAGTGTCCATCTCTCTGTAGAGAAAAGTTTAGGGTTTTTTAGTGCCTTTATCTCTGACTGACACATTCTTCATAGAAAGAATGATAGCCTAGTCATAAAATAAGCTTCTCAATCCATACTGTGTTGTATGTAACAGTTTGTTTAGTGTAGTTCTGTGATCTGTCAGGACAGGATCATAACTTTGAGGTACTGTTGCCCCCCACCTCTACACCAAAACCAGTGTTTCTTAGACAGTAACTGTCTCAGTATGTCTTCAGTTTGTATAAGTGTTTTCTTCTGGAATTCCATAAAATGCTGCTATGTGAGGTGTCAGGAAATTTCATCTTGAAAGTATCAGGTTTCAGACTTGAAGATAATCCATTAATTATATGGATAGGTAGGAATGAAACTAAGGCTTGCTGAGGCCTCTTCAGTCAAATTCTGATGAGGAAGGGAAAACTCACCTGCATCTTTGAATTACTCAGCCTGTCTAATCACTTGCCTTGCAGCCAAGACAAAGCTTTTTGGTGGCACTGGTGGTATGCTCTCTATACTGTGCTCTCAAAACTAGGTAGAAACCATGGCAAACCTAAGGTACAATATATATCTGTGTAAACCAGCAGCACATTCAAAGTGCATAGTATTGTAGGTGTAGGACAGTGTGCATGAAAATCCTTACAGCTTTAAACATGTTGACTGTGAGTTGAAGTTGTATATTTATACTGGTTGTTCTCCCAGGTAAGCTGCCATGTCTGATAGTCAACTTGAAAGAGCAGTTCCCAAGACAGTATGTCTCTCTGACCATTCTGGGGTGATGAAGGAACTGTCAGACATACAGAGCACGCTGTGTTTGCAGCTGACCTTGTTGCCTGCAATTTACTGGGCTTGTTCTGCAGATGAATGTGGGCTTGGTGTCATGAGCTGTATGTAGAGAGAAGCTACTGAGAGAAGGGAGCTCTTGCTTTTTTTGGCACAGATATTTTGGTCCTCACACTGTTTCAGTACTTTCCTTTGGCTCTGCCAGTTCTGCCCAGTCTGCTGTTTCTGCTTTTTTGAATCAAGAAGACAAAAAATGGGTGTAAAGCATCAAGCAGACTTCTTTACCAGTGCTTCAGCTTGATTCTCTCACAGCAAAACAAGAAATAGGAGCATTTTGTTGCAATAAGGAAGAGGATTTGTGAATGCATGTGACTGGGAAGGGATGGAGTGGAATGTGATAAAGGGATAGGATCTGAAAGGGAAAAAAGATGATGTGATAGTCTTAGTACCTAGGCTGTTTTTCCAGCAAGACTGCATGGCTTGCCAGTTAGAAAGAGACTGGAAGCTGAACGCTCAGCTTCCCTGCTGACTTCCTGCATGGTCTGAAAATTTGCCTAGGTGATGCAGTTGCTACCTCAGTAACATCAGTAATGCTATTCTCTGAAATGTCCCCTTATCCAAACATAGAGAGCTGTTTCAGAATATGCTACATGGTCATTTGTAGTAAAAAAGTAACAAAAGAATGTGTGTCATGAGACAATGTGGAGCACAGAGCACTCTGTTTTTTCTTTCAGGTCATTCTCTCTCTGGAACATGGGCTGTGGACTCCAAATCTTCATTTCAATACCCCAAATCCAGATATTCCTGCCTTACAAGATGGCTCCCTGGAGGTAGTTTGTAAACCAACACCAGTGAAAGGTGGCCTTATCGGTATCAACTCTTTTGGTTTTGGGGGTGCTAATGCTCATGTCATTCTGAGGCCAAATAAGAACAAATGCCAACCTCTGGAGACTAGTAACATGCCAAGGCTGGTTCAGATTTCTGGCAGAACCCAGGAAGCTGTGGAAACACTAATTCAAGAGAGCAGAAAACATGAAGAATGCAGCCCATTTGTAAGCCTGCTCAGCGACATCTCTGCAGTTCCTGTGTCCTCCATGCCTTTCAGGGGCTACACACTGGTTGGCACTGAAAGTGACATAAAAGAGGTTCAGCAAGTTCAAGCATCTGGTAGACCACTCTGGTACATATGCTCAGGTAGGTGTGCAGCATTGAATCCAGGCTTTTCTATTCCTTTTTAGATCTGGGACTTGAGCAATTGTATTCTGTGCTCTAATGTTATTTTACAGTGTAGCATGAGGAAGTATTTTGCAACTCTGTGACAGGTTTAGGAGTCTTGTGTTTTCTGTATTTTATCAAAACCTTCCAACTTAACTGTCTTCTGATTATAGTGAAGCCCAGCAAATAACAACCAGTGCCCAGTTTAAAGAATGTAAGAAATGTACAATGCTTTGCTCTTAGTTAGAATTCTTTAACTGCCAGAGGAAAGTGTGTTGTGTCTACTCCTGTTTCAGAGTATTACTAAAAGCCAGAGGAAAGTGTGTTGTGTCTACTCCTGTTTCAGAGTATTACTAAAAGCTCCTTGCATATCCTGCAGGCATGGGAACACAGTGGAAAGGCATGGGCCTGAGCCTTATGAAGCTGGATCTGTTTCGCCAGTCTATATTGCGTTCAGATCAGGCTTTGAAGAACACAGGCCTTAAGGTCTCAGAGCTGCTGCTGCAAGCAAATGAGAGCACTTTTGATGACACTGTTCATGCATTTGTTGGACTGGCTGCTATTCAGGCAAGACTCAGTGGGCTCGGGGAGGGGGGTAATGGACTCAATCTACATAAGCACCTTCTGCCAATGTGTCTGTTTGGCTGGTAACACTTTATATCAATTTATGGAAGCTTGTTTTGTGTAATCAGCAAGTGGCAGCTGTTGGAAATACCTCTCTGAGAGGAGGGAGTGCATTGTGCCCTTGGCGGTTTCAGGCTTTGGCACTTCGAAGTACATGACAAACTTTTTGGTATAGATAGTCTTGGCTTCACTGCTTTTTTCTTACAAGATGTTTGGACTAATACTGGTCTGAACTGATTTGCATGTGTATCCATGTGTATATGTGACACAGTTTCTTCCATTAAGAGCTTTAGGAATGTCTTTAAGTTTCAGGCAAATGTTTGTGCCAAGGAGCAAGGTTCCATTTAATGTCTTCTAAAATTTGTTCTGAAATGAACTAAGTCAAGCTGAATGAAGCATCTTCATGATTCTGAGTGTCAATGTGGTACTCATGGTTTCTTAATAAACTAGAGGCCAAGCTTTTAAAGTGATCTGGAAAGCTGGTCTTAGCCTCTTAATTTGTACAGATACATTCTTGGCAGCCTTTTATCGTTGGAAATACTTTCTCAGTGAAAAATTACATTGTGAAGAGGCCCAGACAATACTGGAGTTGCATGATGTTTCTTGGGATTGCTTTGAAAGGAGGATGGAGCTGTAGTTGTGGGGAAAAACAAAAGCAGTGAGGCCAAGAATGTCTGAACCAAAAAGTTCATTATGTACTTGCTACATGTGTGTACCTTTGAGGCCTGACACCTGCTTACTCTGGCATGGCATCTAATTTTACTTCTGCTTGCAGATTGCTCAGATTGATATGCTGAAGGCTGCAGGTCTGCATCCGGATGGGATTGTGGGACACTCAGTGGGAGAACTGGCTTGCGGCTATGCAGACAACTCCTTAAGTCATGAAGAGGCCATTCTTGCTGCTTATTGGCGGGGACGATGCGTTAAAGAGGCCAAATTGCCACCTGGAGGAATGGCTGCTGTTGGTAGGTACACCCTTACCAAAAGAGTGATACAGGAATGTGCATCTGTTCTCTACTGTATGTCATTGGGATCAAACTGGTCTCTGAAACTATAATGTAAAATCTTGGCCACTGTATCCTCCTCTTTGTTTTCTTCTGATGTAGAACAGGCTCTTAAGTATTTAAGTGGATAAAATGGTAGTGATCTCTGTCCTGGAATACATCAGGATTTTGGTAACCATCCAAAATTTAAGTGGAAATGGAGAGATTTATTGCCAAGTGACCAATGAAAGGCTTCGTAAATAATACCTTGAAACAAGGTAAAAATGTAAAGCAGTGAATTTTTTTGCTCTCTATAGATTTGTATCATACACACACAGATGTGTGTGTGTATGTATTTTGGGGGTTTTTTGTAATTGTTTTTCCAAAGGAGACTTGTGATTGTCTGCAGGAGTAATGAGATGTGAAAACAGTAAGCCACTGTGATGTAGCGGGCAGCTGGCTAGTGGAATTTACTATGGCCTAATAGCACTTGGGAATAAGCTTTCTCCTGAACAAACTTTACTTTGTGTCTGTGTAAGTCATATAGTTTTACCTACTGTCAGGTAAAATTTTGGACCCAGCAGTTTTGCTTTGTAGTGCAACTTTATAGTGACTTACATGCTTAAAAGTAAAATTATTATTGGTAGCACTGTTGTTTTTCTGTTTCTTATTGGATGCAGGGTCAATTAAAACCTGAAAACACTTTGGAGAAAAGTTGTTGCAGGTATAATGCTGTCTGTTGGATTAGAACACTTGCTATAATCTCAGATTTCTTAATTTAGGTAATGCTCCAAAGGACTACCTACCTAATTAAGCTTTTTTCCCCCCTTGAGATTAAATAAATTACACTCTTATCATAGAATTTGGAAGTCTACATATAGTATGTTTTTGATAATCTAATGTTGAGTTCAAGTTCTTCCTGTGACTTGTATCTGTGTAATGTTATGACCAGATGCTTCACATTTAATCTGACATGCCACTAGAGTTTACTGATTTGTATGGCTATTTTCTGTCTCTCAGCAATCCAAGCTAAAGCAGGGGAGAGAACACATGGGCTTGGCTCCTAGAAACTAATGGCAACATGAGACTAAACAACCACTTCTGCAGCTTCTTTGAAAGTGTGGGGGTTACCCTCACCTCATTCATTAATGGGATGGTGCAAAGATTGGGCCTTGTGTTCATCTTAACTGTGATAAATGTCATGGTAAAGCTCTAGGGTAAATATTCTTAGCTTTTGCAGAATTGCTTTGGAGGGGAGAGGGAGGTACCCATCAGTCTCTTGCGAGTATTTCCCAATTTTGCAAAGTGCTGAATTGAGCAGAGTGACTGTGCACTTAATATTTCCTCCTCTTATGAGGCTCATAACTAAAAACCCTTTTGTTTTCCTGTGGCCTTCCTTCTGCAGGTCTGACATGGGAGGAGTGTAAACAACGCTGTCCTCCAAATGTGGTACCAGCCTGTCACAACTCTGAGGACACTGTCACTGTTTCGGGGCCTCTGGTGAGCATGAAACTGACACAGTGTGTACCGGGATTGTGAGTAGGACCTGCAAAGTTCAAGTTTGAAGAAAGCATGAAGCTTACTTAGAGTGCAGCTGCTTGAAAAGGGGAGCTGATTGAAGTGGTGGAGTGGACATAATACATTGTATAAACTTACACAGTCCAATAATCTGTAAGAGGAAGTGATATTGGTGCCTCAGTAAGCTAGTAATAAAATCTCTTCTATCCATGGGCATAGAGGATGGTAAATTATAAGACTGAGAAGGGCAATAACTTCATCACTGCTGTGGCTCCCCTTAAATGGTAACTGATGAAGGGTATGGAGGGACTACACTGGCTTGTACAAATACCTAGTATTTTGTGAGCTTCTCTCTTAGTTCACTTATGTTTTTGTTCTTAGGACTCTGTGAATGAGTTTGTAGCCAAACTGAAGAAAGAGGGTGTGTTTGCAAAGGAGGTGCGCAGTGCTGGCGTCGCCTTTCACTCCCATTACATGGCATCTATTGCCCCAGCACTGTTCAATGCTCTGAAAAAGGTAATATTGCCAAACCATGACTTGCATGGCTTATGCTCTGACACCTGGGTTGCCTATAGGTTATGTTGAGCTTGAGGGGACTCCTTTTTTCAGAAGGAAGAGAAAATCTCTTGAAGAGCATGTAGACCTCTGTGAGATCTAATGTTTGAAATCACTTGGCCTGGAGCAGGAGGATGTCCTGAGCAATTAACCTGCAAAAAGGAGGAGCTGCTTGCTTTTGCTGATCCTGTTGTTCTCTATGACTTGTAACTCTTTCTCCTGTCCTTCTTTCTTGGCTGTCTGTAGGTCATTCCACACCCTAAACCTCGCTCAGCACGATGGATCAGTACATCTATCCCTGAATCTCAGTGGCAAGGTGATCTGGCTAGGAATTCCTCTGCAGAGTACCATGTGAACAACCTCGTGAATCCAGTGCTGTTCCATGAAGGTCTGAAGCATGTTCCAGAGAATGCCGTTGTTGTAGAGATTGCTCCACATGCTCTTTTACAGGTATCCTATTTGATCATCATGCTCTTACAAGGAGTTTGAAGGTCTGATGACCCTCAAACTGGGGAAAGCTGCAGCTTTTTTTTTTTTTTCCCTAGTTCTGAGAGTACTTGCTTCCTTCAGTACTTCTGAGCTTTTCCCAGTTTTAATGTTTGGTTTCTTGTTTGTTTCTTCATGATTTTTTAGGGGGTGGTGTATGTTAATATTAAAAATAAAAAAATAAAAAAAAATCCCTAACACACTACCACTTCCTTACTCAGAAATTCACATTACTGCTGCTATTTGTTCCCATGTTCAGATAACTGATAGCCAGCTTTCTGATCTGCATGTAATGAGTAAGGAAAGCATTTCATTGTTTGGATCTAATGGAGAGTGTGTACAAAATTTATGGTGGAGTGACACATGCAAAGAATTAACGGACCTTCTCTATGAAAAAAATCTTTTACCATCTGTACTCTGAATTTGGGTTGAGGTTTTGTCTTAAGAGGTGGTGGATAACAGTGGTGTTTTCCCCTCTTCTCCTAGACCAAGTAGACTGAAACCACAGAAGCTTACTTTCTTCTTAAACTCCTTTCTCTAATGAGATCAGATCATTATTCTTTTCTTCCCACCCTATCAAAATTGATTCTCGTGGAATTAGCTCCATAGTAGAGAGTGCAGAGCATGAGGTGCATTGGGAAACACTTGCTCTTCAGGATCAGTGGTGTGGTCTTGTCTGTGTCTCTTAAGTCTCAAGGACTGGTCTTTTTTTATTTGGTCAGTGGCACGCAAGAGGAGAAGTCTTAGGAAGAATAATAATTACTCATGATCAAGATTAATAGTTACACAGTGCTTCTTAGTTTCAGCCCAGTGTATTTTTGCTATGTCATGTTAGTCTCATGCTTTGAAAGTGATTTGAAGGGAGAATCAAGAGTACTGTTTTTAAATTGGGCATATATTTTTTTCGACAGAGACTTTATGCCTCATGTTGAAATCATTGAACAATTTTGGACTCTAATGCAAGTGACTAAGACTTCATTGTCTGTGTTTGAAAGTATCCTGATCTTCTCATGTAAAGACCATGGGATCAAATTGAAGAGAAGATAAAAAATTGGGTCAGGTGTTCGAGGCTGAGTTTTTTGGTCTAATAACTTATGCTTGAAAGATGCTCTAGGATACTTCAGACCATAAGGTGCTGCTCCTGGCAAGGGAGTGTGTGCAAGTGGGAGGCATGAGACGGTGACTTAGCAGTTTTTCAAGTGCAGCTTGTGGTTTTACCTCACAGTCTACCTGGGAGTGTTTTGGCAGAATTACATTAATATTGTGTAGGTTCTGCTTTATTAGATGTGCAACAGCTAGGGTTGCTGGAAGGGTACTCTTCCCTGTTAAAGTGGTGTTTGTGGCAGCAGCTAGCACTGAACTCTTGGCACAGATGCATAAGTGGTTTGGACACTATAGACAAAAATTCTGAGACAAAGTAGTAAGTAATGCCTTCCACCAGTGATGTATGGATTCTGCTTGACCAGGCTATCTTGAAGAGAACTTTGAAACCAACTTGCACCATTCTGCCATTGATGAAGAAAGATCACCAAAATAATTTGGAGTTCTTCCTAACACAGATTGGCAAGATTCATTTAACTGGGTAAGGAGACATGGGGAAGAGGGTAAGTGGGATAACAGAAGGGAATTCAGGTCTCTTCTCTAATATGCATGTCTTCATATGGAATCAAACACTCCTTCAAGAAACCTTGAAATAAATGGGATGTGCGTTTGTGCTTTACATACTTAGCATGCTCACTTGTGAAGTGTTCCTGTGGGTTAGAGACTGCTTGAGCAGGGAAGGTGCCTTCGAAAGAGAAGTCCCATTTTAAAGGCCTAGGAACCTGGCACTAGCTTCTGGAAATAAATTTTGCATCTTATAGACTGTTAATTATAAATTTGGCTGCAGTAAGTGTTCATGGTACATCTGACATGGAGTTTGAGACCAATTACTGCCTGACCTCTTAATTATAACCAATTTTTTTCCTTACTTTTTCTTCCCATCCCTTCTCCCATGTCTTGATTATTTTTGTCTTTTTAGGATAAATGTTCTTGGAAATAACTTGTTCCCGTCTATGGAATACCCTGTCCCTGTGGGAACACCCCTTATTTCTCCATGCATCAAATGGGACCACAGTCAGGACTGGGATGTTCCGACAGCTGAAGACTTTCCAGCAGGTTCCAAAGGCTCTGCATCTGCTTCAGTCTACAATATTGGTGTGTTGCTCATTTGGGGTCTATTATTTGTTTGTCACTTTCCTGCTTTACCTGTGTGTTTGCTTTTGTAATAGTAAGAATAGAATACTCAAAACAGCATCCTGGAAGCCATCCTCTGAAGCTTAAATGTTTGGTTTGGATTGACAAAAACCTGTATCTGTTTCTGAAATGGGATGAGAGAACATGAACAAACCAGGAACCTCTATTGCTTTAGACTAAGAGTAATTCTAAGGGCTTCATATTGTCAGGCAGGATAGTTGGGGAAACTAGAGCCTCTTGTGGATATTGAGGGGGAAAACCTCTTTTTTAGTGTTTTTATTATTTTTCTTCTCTTTGTTGTTTGACAGATGTGAGTCCTGACTCTCCTGACCACTACTTGATTGGTCACTGCATTGATGGCAGAGTTTTGTACCCTGCAACTGGGTACCTCGTGCTGGCTTGGCGAACACTGGCGCGGTCTCTTGGTGTGGCTATGGACGAAGTGGCTGTTACGTTCGAAGATGTCACAATTCATCAGGCAACTATCATTCCCAAAAAGGGTGAGTGAGGAGTGCTGGTATAACTGCACAACTGTGTAGTGAAGATGGAGGGAGTGGAAGGAAAGGAATGCATGGGAAAAGTGAGGAGGAATGCAGGAAAGAGACTAAAGAGGAGTGCAGCATGACTGAGCAAAGGAATGGATTCATATAGTCAAGTAGTATGCATTATGGTCATCTTATTACCTGTTGTGAGTGGTAAGTTTAGGGATAGTGAAGGAAAAAGTTCTGCTTGAGGATGGTAGAGATAAATGACCTCCTGTCTTCCTCAATGTTTCTTGCAGGATCAGTACAGCTGGAAGTAAGACTTATGCCTGCTTCCCACTGCTTTGAGGTATCAGGAAATGGGAATCTGGCTGTCAGTGGTAAGTGAAGGAAATATAAGTGTATATGTACAATCTTAATAAATCCATAATTTATAAATAATGGTAATCATCATTATTCTTGTTACTGTGCCCTTCAGGGAAGATTTCGCTCCTGGAAGACACTGCTCAGAACAATTTCCGTAACCAGACAGATGGCCTTCGGACTCAAGCAGACAGGAGCTCAAAGCCTGGGCTCTTGAAAGATGACATTTATCAAGAGCTGCATCTGCGTGGATATAATTATGGACCAACTTTCCAGGGTGTTCTAGAATGCAACAGTGAAGGTAAATTTCCTTTCAGAAGAAGCACAGTGAGGCCTGGGTATCATAATGATGACTATTTGATCCTTTAATACCATTTGTATTAACAGTTCACCTGACTGTGCCTTGTGAGGTAATTATACTTTGTGTGATAGGAGATAACAACAAAGAGCATTGAGAAAGCTGTTCTTTCCAGTGTAGAACTGTGTGGTGGAATTTACAGGGGAAGCTGGGTACATACACCAAACTTGGCGTTTAATAAGCAGTGACATTCTAGCATCTGATGAATGATGAAATAGTGAGGCTTTCTCTTCCTCTTCTGCAGCAACTGCAGGAAAAGTTCTGTGGAATGGGAACTGGGTGACCTTCCTTGACACTCTGCTGCATATGCTGATCTTACCTGAGACTGGCCGCAGTCTGCGCTTACCCACGAGGATTCGCTCAGTCTGTATTGATCCAGTGCTGCATCGTGAGCAGGTGTGCCAATACCAGGACAATATAGAAGGTAATGTCTCTCATGCTTGAACTTCTGCTGGTTGCTTTGACTACTGGGTGAATGTGTCAATTCTGAAGTAGTAGGATGAATTTTGATGGGAGGGTCCTCTTAGTCTCCAAGCTCTTCTGCAACTCTGTAACCTCTCTATGAAAGAGCCCCACATAGCACTGTTCATCAAATCACCCTGAACAAAATATGTTTTTGTTTCCCAACTTACATTTCTTTCCTGACTTTCAGCTTTGGAAGTTCTGGTGGACCGCTGTCTTGATAGCCTTAAAGCAGGAGGCGTTCAGATCAATGGTCTTCATGCTTCTGTGGCACCACGGCGACAGCAGGAACAGATACCTCCCACCCTGGAAAAATTCTGCTTTGTGCCCTACACTGAGAGTAGCTGTTTGTCTTCAAGTGCCCATCTTCATGCCTATCTGGAGCAATGCAAAGGTAGAGTGGGATTGCTTTCTTGTCATACTAGGAGAGTCTTCTAGCCCGAGAGAAGCTGAATACTCCTTCAGAACATCCAAGATATTAAATATTGGTCTCTGTAGAAGACTTCAGCAAGGGTTCTCTGTATGATTGCTGGAAGCTAAAAGCCAGTTCTGCCTGAGCTCTGTAGAATGTGAGAAAGAGTAAAAGCCATGAAGAGGGACATCTTTCCTTCTATAACAGTCAGATGTGGTGTTAGATGGCACAACCCCTTCTGCAAGCAGAGAGACACAAATCATCTTTAAGGAGAAATCCAACCTAGTTGCTTTAGACACTGACAGGAGAGCTTACTTAAGTGAGATTTTAACCTTGGTTTGTTTTTGCTTGTGAACTGCTACAATAGGCACTTTGACTGCAGGCACATATCCAAACAGGGAAAATGATGTAGTGAGGCACACATCAAAGGAATTGTTTGCCACAAGAATAGAATAGGAGCAGTTCAGTCTGTTGTGAAACTGGTAGCTAAATATATTGTTTTTTGATGGGGAGACATCCACTAAACTAATCACTTTAAGTGCCTTTTCATCAAAGAGAAAAATGTTACTTTTTAAAAAAATTTTTACTTTAGTGATGAATTTTGCTTCATCTTGAGAGAATCATTTTTTTCATTCTGTATTGGTAGAGTGTCTTCATGCTCATCCTTAGATTTGACAATAGATTCTAAAGATTTCCTTTTTTTTTTTTTTTTCTCCTTAGTTTTCCCCTGCAGCATCCAAATACTGTCCCCAGAGCATATTTTTTCTAGGCTGTGGTGGGAATATTTTGTTTTTTGTAATCCAGTTCCTGATCCTCAGTCAGGATTAACTATTTCCCATCAGTTTATAAAGCAAAAGGGCATTTTAGTATTTTTGTATCTTCAGAAACTTAAAATTTTCCACCACAGCTCCCTAAATCAATCAAAAGTTTTCTGTTAGTTGCCCTCTTTAGTCAGTCTTACCACAGGTAATTGTGGGGGTGTTGTTTGTTTGGCTACAAAGCCTACTTATTTGGGGCAACTACTGCACAATACATAATTATGTGAATGTAAGAGGCTGCACTGTATCTGTGATATAGGATGCTGTGGTGCTGATCAGCTGGTGTAGCAAATGGAGGCAAGGAGGAAAAGAATTCTTGGAAAATCTTGACTCTTTCTTTCATTTCCCCCTTCTATTCCATAGGTCTGATCCAAAAGTTGCAGTCTAAGGTGGCAGTGCATGGGGTCAAATTAGTCATCCCTGGAGTAGAAAATGCAGTGGCTGCTACGGGGTCCTCGTCCACACAAAAGGGCCTTCAGCATATCCTCGCTGAGATCTGCCGCCTGGAACTGAATGGAAACCTCCATTCTGAGCTGCAACAAGTTGTGGTTCGAGAGAAAATGCACTTCCGAAATGACCCTCTTCTCAGTGGATTGCTGGATTCTGCAGAGTTGAGGACTTGCCTGGATGTGGCATTGGAGAACATGATCAGTCATAGGATGAAGATAATAGAGGTTAGTTGAAAGCCTGGGATGGGATTGTAGCTAGTGTTTCTAGGCCTTCCAGTAACCTGATTACATACTGCTGTTGTTCCGGTTATAATTCTGGATATCAGTCATGTTTTGATTTGGTTTCTGCTTTTCCCTCCCCTTCTTTTTCTCACAGGCTAATGCAGGAAGTGGACAACTGTTCTCTCGTGTGAAAAGTATTCTGAATGCTCAGCCCCTGTTGCAGCTGGACTACATTGCCACTGACTGCATCCTGGAAAACCTTTCAGCTGTTGAAACAGAGTTACAAGATGCTGGTGTTGTCTCTAGCCGGTGGGATCCATCTAGCCCTCCCTCTGGAAATCTGACCAATGCTGACCTGGTGGTATACAACTGTTCAACAAGTGTTTTAGTGAATACCACTGAAATACTCTCTAATTTGGCAGCTGCTGTGAAAGAAGGAGGGTTTGTTTTGCTACATACTCTTCTTAAGGGAGAAACCCTTGGAGAAATTGTCAGTTTCCTTACAAGCCCAGATCTGCAGCAGAAACACAGCTTCCTAAGTGAGGTAAGCCTCTTGGAAGGACAGATACTTTCACCATGGATAGTCTGAGTCTGCTGCTTGTAGATGCCCTGATGGTAAATGTATAGTAGGCATTGCTTGCATGCCTTTCCATTGAGGACTTCTGCAGAAATATCTAATGAACACTTCTTAAGAAGAGAGGACTTGCAAATTACTACATATTAGATTGAGAGAGTAAACTGTAGGTTCAATCAGGAAAGCCTTTCTTAATGCACTGAAAATTATTAATTGTCTTTTGAGCATCTGTCTAATCTGTATGAAAACACTGGCCAGGACAATTCCTTTATTGTTAAAATCATGTTGCTGGGTGGGGTACAGCTCTACCACTGTAGAATCCTGAAATGCTTCGGTATCAGACTATCTCTCTTACTTTTGATACTACTGCTTAGAGTGCGATTTTACAAGCTAGTAATTTCTTCTAATGTTAAGGTCCTCCCAGAAGGAAGGCTTTTCTCTTGTATTTTTCTTTTCTTCCTTTCCTCTTCCCTATGTTATCTGATCCCATAATGAGATACAGTAAATAAGCCCTGAGAAGCTGGAGGAGGGAGAGAAGAGTGTCAGCATTGTATCTTCCAACCAGTATATCATACAGATAAACTAATGCCAAAGCTGGTGCAAGAGGAGGAGAGTGAAAGGCAAGGGTAAGGGTGGAAACTGGGGCATCATCTTCTCTTGACATCTGTTAGACTCAGCAGTAATGGAAAAATGCACCTCTGCTGAACTTACCTATTTTTCCTGATTTGAGGGGATGCAGCCTCTCAGCTCTCTTCTTTTAGAACAAGAAGAGAATAGCGCTTCCAAGAGTTTGGGTTTTGTTTATAATTCTGGGGTGGGGTTGTTGGATTTTGAATTTTGCAATTACATGGATTCTAGCCCTTCCTGAATACATTTTTTCAAGGGGATTTGAGAAGAAAGGTTAGGTTCTTTGCTCTGAATCTTTCCCAGTGAACAGGAGGATAAAGAGAAGGCAGAGATGCTACTGGCACCAATAACAAAAACCAGAAATTTGTCATTAGTATCAGTAGCCTGGTATTAGCAAATCCCCGGGAGAAGATATCTGTCCCTTGAATGTTCCTTCTCTGCAGGAAATTATACAAGCCAGGCAAGAGTGTGCAGGACTTACATAGTTCTCAAAGTTTTCTAGATACAGACACTGTCCTTGGACCTTGATATAAGGGATCACACTGTAAAAAACCTTCTGCTGGTTTGTGCCTGACATAGGAAAAGCAAATGGATGCTTTTCTGAGAGACTGCATTCATCTTTATTTCATTCAGATAGTAATCCTCAAGTGTTTCTGGATATGCCATACATGCATTTACATTCCTTTGTTTTCCTGAAATGCCATTTCAGTGTAACTTAGACATATGGGTGCTTCTCCCCATCTCTGTGCAAACAGGGCTTATGTGACATAGGGTCATAGACACATTCAAATACACTGTGGAATTTGGTGGTATGGTCACAGCTCAGGTTTTTGTTTTTTGCACATCTGCTAGTGTGCTAAGACTGGTTGCCTAACTTGGACTTTGAGGTATTTGTACTCCCACTTTTGGAAGATCCTTTAGGGAAGAAGGAGTAGTCTAGATGTGGATAAAACATTATTATGTTAATCAAACCTGTATTTGTACTGTGACAATACAGAACAAGTTTTCAAGAAAAAGCAAGAAAAATTGACTTTTGATTTTGCTGTTAATTTTGTTGCTTTGCCTGATTTGACAGGCACAGTGGGAGGACTTATTCAGCAAAGTTTCATTGAATCTTGTTGCCATGAAGAAGTCATTCTTTGGCTCAGTTATTTTCCTGTGTCGTCGGCAAGCTCCTGTCAAAGCACCTGTTTTTCTGCCAGTAGATGAGACGAACTTCAAGTGGGTTGAATCCTTAAAGGTGAGAATTCTTGTGTCCTAGGTATCTGAATTTCCAAATCATTATACTTTCTGAATGAGATATTTAGTAGTGTTGAAAGAAGAATGTGTGTGTGTGTGTGTTCAGTTACTTTTACTAAAATAGAAGTTACTAATCTCTGCCAAGGATATGAGGGCTATTTTCTTTGTAGTTCCTGGTAAAACAGTTTGGGGTTTGTCCTGTAGGAGATCTTGGCTGACGCATCAGAGAAGCCTGTGTGGTTGACTGCCACCAGTTGTGCGAACTCAGGAATTTTGGGAATGGTGAACTGCCTTCGCCTTGAAGCAGAAGGCCACCGAATCAGGTACGCGAGCATGCCTTTGAGTCACATTTGGGAGATGAGATATTTGTGTTAGTTTCTTCTCAGACCTATAGGAAAACAAACAAAATGACAACTCTTGTCTTCAGGTGTGTGTTCATTTCCAACTTGAACTCTTCATCTGCTGTCCCACCCACAAGTCTTTCTTCTCTGGAGATGCAGAAGATTGTTCAGAAGGACCTGGTGATGAATGTGTATCGTGATGGAAAGTGGGGCTCCTTCAGGCATCTTACATTGCAGCAAGGTACAGTCTTTGAGAGCTGAGGATCACTTGCAAGGCCTTGAATCTGAATGAACTTTGAATAGAAAATGAGTAGCTATTGTTCCTACGGTTACCTTTTATTATTATTTTTAATTAACAATTTTGAATTCTTCTGTTTCAGCTCAAAGTGAACAGTAGAACATTGTGGTGCTAGAAGGGATAGGCTATTTAGGGCATCAGTAGTATTGCAAAGCAAGAAAGGGCTCTCAGGATAGCAAATGGAGAAGGAGGTAGAAATTGCACAAGGAGTTTACTCGTTTTGGAAAGCACGTACCTTTGTTAATATGTCTAAGTTCTTACTGTTCCTTCTCCTGCAGCACAACCTCAGGAGCTGACAGAATATGCCTATGTGAATGTGCTAACTCGTGGAGATCTCTCATCTCTTCGCTGGATTGTCTCCCCACTTCGACACTTCCACACAACTGATCCCAATGTTTTACTCTGCAAAGTCTATTACGCATCTCTCAACTTCCGGGACATTATGCTGGCCACGGGGAAGCTTTCTCCAGATGCTATCCCTGGTGAGTTAAAGTTACACTTAAAAGGATATGTATTGTGGTTCTAGAATTAATCTCTTGATTGTTCGTTATGCACTGGCTAGATTGTATGCCAGAAAGCATGCTTTTGAGAAGGAAGTACAGCTCTGCTGCAGGGCTGTACACCAAAAAGTTCCCAAGTTCTACTTCGAGTTACAGTTCCATTTTTTTCCAATTAACAAACTATGCTCTGAGAAGTGTTGCTCGCCACATTGCACAGATACCAAGTGTGAGATAAAATATGTTGATAGAGGTTCCAGAGATGGGCATGGTAAATACCAAGGTGACAATGTCAAAGTTGCCTTTTGCCATGCTGATGGACATGCTTGAATTTCAGGGAGGAAAAATGCACGATGAAGTAATTGCCTGTTTACAAAATGGAGGTAGTACTAGCTTTATAGCAAGTTAAGAATTAATGTAATGTGTATGAAATGGTTTTAAAATATGTATTTAAAAGAGAGGGGATGGAGCATGTTAAAATTTGGTGATTTGAGTAGGGCTGGGTTTCCTTCATGACTGAACCACTTGGCATAATGAAAGTTGCCTCTGTGCATGGCAGAAGGTTGGAAGTAGATGATCTTTAGTCTCTTCCAACACAAGCCATTCTATGATTCTGTGACTGACATAAGTGTCTGCCTAAAACATGAATTATCAAAAATTCGTATTTTGCAGTGATCATCTTTATAGTTTATATATAATTCTTTTTCTGAGGGACAGAATTGCCTCTGAAACAAGGTGTTTTCATGACATTTCTCAGATGAAAACTGGAAACTAATGCAATGTCATCAAGGATAAGTGCTCATGATTTAATGAGACCAAGTCCTTTTCCACTACTCTTGCAGTGAGCCATTAACTATGACAATTTATGAACTGTGTACAGAAGAGACAAATCTCAGAGGTTTAGACTTTCAGGGTCTGCTGCTGTAGAATAGGAATTTTAGAAGATAATTTTCTTTTTTTGTAAAGGGTGTTAATGTTCTTTCAGGTAATTGGGCTTTGCAGCAGTGCATGCTGGGCATGGAGTTCTCAGGACGGGACACGGCTGGAAGAAGAGTAATGGGATTGCTGCCAGCAAAGGGGCTGGCCACAGTGGTAGACTGTGAAAAAAGGTTTCTATGGGAGGTGCCTGAAAACTGGTAGGTCAGCTTCTGTTTTCTGGTTAAGATTTGCCTTCCTGCCTGAGGCTGATGACAGCTCTGATCAAACCTGAGTGCTGCACAATGGCTAGATTCATCTCTGGCAAATGTTAACAGGGTTATAGTGTGCCAAGAAACTGTAGAATTTTGCATTAGATTCACTGCAGGAGTTCAGCAGCACTAGTTTTTGTACAGTGGCTTACACAAGGTTCTCATCTTTTTTTGGACTCTTAGCTTCACATGTTTCAGGATACTCTGGGATATCAGTGTTCGTTATGTTACTGGTTAGTTAGTGAAATATTTTTGCAGAATAATGAAACCTGTCTGTGTTTGGCAGCTGTGGTAGTCTGCTGTATGATTGACGCTTTCTTATCTTTATTTTCTATCTATCCTATCTTAACACTTTCTTATCTGTCTCAGCAGCAGAGCCTTTCTGTTGGAGAAAGGCAGATTTCATCAGGAGAATCTAGTAGTCTTTCCCAAGGCTAAAGATACCTCCTTCCACTTTGCTCTTTAGGACTCTGGAAGAAGCAGCTTCAGTGCCTGTGGTTTATGCCACTGCTTATTATGCTTTGGTGGTTCGAGGTGGTATGAAGAAGGGTGAGAGTGTCCTGATTCACTCTGGCTCAGGAGGTGTGGGCCAAGCAGCCATTGCCATTGCCCTGAGCATGGGCTGCCGTGTCTTTACTACTGTAGGTGAGTACTGAGGGCCCAAAGTCATGGGGAGAGAGAGATTATAGCTAATAGAGGAAGCATGTGTGTGTACACATATAGAAATATATATACCTATTTAGGTATATACTTACTCCCCTCCCAATGTGATCTGCTGTAGCTTTGATCTAGTTTCCAGGCTGAGAACTGGTTACATAGTAAATACAGCTACTGACTCTGTGCTTGAAAATTCCACAGCACAGTCAAATGTATCTGTCTCTGTACATTATATAATCAAAAGCCTGGAAGAAGAGCATGGCTTCCTCATTTTACATTTAGTAATATGGATCAAATGCCTGTCCATTGAAAGGCTCTCATCTGTTTCTGGTCCTTGCTCTATCTCATAAATGAGCAGTAGCAACCAGACAGCCTTTGTTCTAGAGTCTGACATCTTGAGAGACTGAAAGCTTGGAGATGGCTTCTTAGATTGACAGTCCTTGGGCGAAAGATGTGCAGTGGAAAATGGGCTGTTTCATCAAAAAAATGAAATTAGTGACATCTTTCAACCTGTCTTCTACTTCCAGGTTCCGCTGAGAAACGTAAGTATCTCCAAGCAAGATTTCCACAGCTAGATGCTAATAGCTTTTCCAGCTCCAGAGATACTGCCTTTGAACAGCATATACTTCGAGTTACCAATGGAAAAGGTGAAGTTCAATAAATATTTTTCCTTTTTTTGTCAGCTAAGCCACATTATCAGTTGTGCATTCTAAAGACAATATTAGTCACTAGAAGACAGGGTTAGGCTCTCAGCAGAGTTAAGTAGGTGCTTCTCATTTCATTGCAGGTGTCAACCTCGTGTTAAATTCCTTGGCAGAAGAGAAGCTGCAAGCCAGTTTGCGTTGTCTTGCTCGACATGGCCGCTTCTTGGAAATAGGCAAATTTGATCTATCTAACAACAGTCAGCTTGGTAAGATGGGGCCTTGGAAAGCACCTCTCATTAGGTTTTAGCTCCTGCCCAACACCCCATGTGCCCTTTTCTGCAGGACAGCTCTCCAACCTTCCCAAAATTTATACTTATGTCTGGTGTTACTAGGGCTCAGGTGCACAACTGACATTTGTTAAATTTTGTATCGCTTATGATTGCTTGGTGTTCCAGTCTATCCAGACCCCTCTGCAAGGCCTCTTGTCCCTCAAGGCAGTCAACAGCATCTACCAGTTTTGAAGGCACAGGGCAAGATAACCCTGATTGCTCTTCTATGGGAAAAAATTTTTGAATTTTGTAAGGTGATGTGCCAATGAAAAATTACAGCAATGTTCTCCTGTTGTAGAATGATTGCATATAGCGTTGACAGCCTGCTTCCTTATTCTAATTAAATTTCAAAAATCCTATCATATTGGAAAACCTTGCTATGAGGAAGAGTCTCCTGTGGAGGTAGACATGATGTATGCAGGATTATAGCTCCCCTGGGACTCTAACTCAGCTGTCACTAGACAAAACCTGTTCTTTTTAATATCAGACTGACCATGATATAACTTGTCCTCTCAACACACAATTTTTTGGAGTTGCATTTCTGTGAAACTGGTCTGCTTGTAAGAGAACAACATAATGTTATGAATTGGAGAATATCTGCAAGAATGAGTTTGCAAAATGTAGAATTCAAGCGTGTGACTGCTTTACTCCTGTAACCTGCCCAGAAATGTTTCTGAAGCAGAGGGTAGGCTCCATTTTGAGATGTCAGCAGCATCAGATCATAACTAAGTTGCTTTTTCTAGGAATGTCTCTCTTCCTCAAAAATGTGGCATTTCATGGGATCCTACTAGATTCAATATTTGATGAGGGAAACCAAGAGTGGGAAGTAGTATCAGAGCTGTTGAAGAAAGGCATAAGAGATGGTGTAGTAAAGCCCCTGAGGAGTTCGGTCTTCAACAAAGAAGAGGTAGAAGCTGCCTTCAGATTCATGGCACAAGGAAAACATATTGGCAAAGTTATCATCAAGGTAATGCAATAATGATTTTGATTCTCTGATACCTCTGGCCATCCTCTGGTGACTGTTGGGTATTTTGATCCATTTTGAGTTGAAGGTCTATCAGTAGGGCAGCACAGGGTCAGTTTTTACTGCTGACACTGTCACAATTGTAACTGTCAAGTCTGGCACTGATTCTCTGAGGTCCATTCCTATTGACTGGAGTAGCATAGCACGAAAAGATAAGAAATGCATTATGTATCTGATTATCTAATTGTAACTACCTTCTTTTTTGTGTGTGTGTTGTTTCTGGTTCTTGGTTGGTTTTTTTTTTTCGTGGGGGAAGGTCCAAGAAGAGGAAAAGGAGTATCCTTTAAGAAAGTCTGAACCAGTTAAAATCTCTGCAATCTCCCGAACCTCCTGTCCACCTACGAAGTCCTACATCATCACAGGGGGCCTGGGAGGATTTGGGCTGGAGTTGGCACAGTGGCTAGTTGAGAGAGGAGCACAGAAAATTATACTGACGTCTCGTTCTGGCATACGAACTGGTAAGCAAAAATTGTAAGGGAGCAGGGAATATGACTGCCTTTCAACAGACCTCAGTTTGTAGTTTCTCTCCATTTTAAGGGTCCTGTTGGTGACTAATAATGTCTAGATCTCTTTTCTTTCCTGTATTATCTCACTTCAAGTATCCTGTATTACCTCACTTTAGTTATTGTAAAGGAGGAACAATCTTTTCGCTTGACCTTTTATTCCAATTACTACTTTCCCCCTTTTATGCTTCCTATTTTTATCAACCCATTTTCTCTCTTATACAGGGTTTTTTTCTGTAGCCTTTCTTTTATCTTTATGCCCTCTGCAAAATCTGGCTACCTCGCTGACTTGTCCACTGGCTGTAGTATGTTAGATCACATGCCACAAGGAAGGGCCTAAAAACTCCTTGTTAAAGATACTTTGTTCCTCATGTGTGGATGCTCACTCTGGATCCTTAGATAGCTCATCTGTAAAGATGAACCTTACTATCTGATAGCATCCATAAACATTTTTACTGAGATTTAAGGCATTAGTTTGATTACAGTGGCAGCATTGAGATTTATCAGTGATAGTCTTCAGTATTTCCTCATACAAATTCACTCATAACTCAAATCCTCTCTGTCTATACAGGTTTCTTCTTTCTTTTGGCAAGTTCACAATCACACCACTTGTGTGTACAAACCCATTGATCAAATACAACTTTTCAATTTCTGGTTGTGCTACTATAATCTGTTGCTTTGCTCTAATCTAACCAATTTTCCCTATCTCAGTACCCAAATTTTTGTTAATTTCTCTTCACAGTTGTTTGTTTTTTTCCTTCCTTCCTCCCACCACCACCCCAGCCCTTAGGTTCTCCCAGTGCTGTTCTCCACTTTATCTATGTAGAATTTCTGAAATTCAAAATTTTGAAATTTTGTTCAATTTTTATCTCATAGCTGAATCAGGAATTATTTAGCTATTCAGTCCCTATCTAGTCAGAGAAGCATAAAGGAGCAGCTTAACCAAAGCCTTACATTTGGGATTCTTCATGCAAGGCACTGTCCACCTTTATTTCTTCTAGGTTATCAGGCTAAACGTGTTCAAGAGTGGAAGGCACTGGGAATCAAAGTGCTGGTATCTACCAGCGATATTGGAACACTAGAAGGAACACAGCAATTAATAGAAGAGGCTTTGAAGCTTGGACCAGTTGGAGGCATCTTTAATTTGGCTGTGGTAAGTGACAAAAATGCTCAGGACTTGTAAGAAGCAACATCCATTCATGTGACCTTTTTAACTAAAGGCAGTCAGGCTTCATACAATTTTAGTTAAGTTCTCTGTGTTTCAAAGGACACTATACTTTGGTCCTACCTGGTGATTAAAGGCTTATGGGTCTGTTCCCTTGACCTGAGAAGCAACAGTATTTGGCCAGTGAGTTCAGTTCTGTGATGAGACAAATGTTGTCCTAGCCTCTTGTGGACAAGAAAAGTCCCACATAGAGCTTGCCAGAATTTTTGCAGTGTCAATACAGAAAAAATACTGAAAAAAGCAGACTTGGCACAAGGCATGTTGTCATATTTTGGGATATTCCAGATATGTCTGTACTGTGAATTTACAAAAATACATTGTGTAGTGATATCCTCTCATATCTCAAGCCATGTGGCATATTTAAACAGAGAAACTAGATATACTGAAACTACACTTTTTTTTAAAATCCCTCTTCCCACCCCCCCATAGGTCCTTAGAGACGGCATGATTGAAAATCAGACCCCAGAATTATTCTGCGAGGTCAACAAGCCAAAGTATTCAGGCACCCTTCATTTGGATTGGTAAGTGTCTGTAGAAGGGACAAACAATAAGAATTGTTTTTGAAGTCAAGGAACTGATCAAACTTAGTTGCTTTAGTCTTGCACTAGCCTTTGACAGTAATACACTACGCAGGCTTTTCTGATGAGGTTTCTCCTGCTCTGTTCCAAGGGTGACTCGTAAGAAGTGTCCAGACCTGGACTATTTCGTTGTATTCTCCTCTGTAAGCTGTGGAAGAGGAAATGCTGGGCAAAGTAATTACGGCTTTGCCAATTCTACCATGGAGCGTATCTGTGAGCAGCGGCATCATGATGGACTCCCAGGTAAGATAACTTTACTTATTGCACAGTATGTACTATCTTGACAAACATCCAGATGAGGACCAGCTCACCAGAAACCTGTGCACTTATCTGGAGTTATAAAGTCTTTTGAAGGCTGTTTTCTGCTCCTAGATGTTATGCTGAGTCATTCACGTGTGAATGAATACTCACCATTTAACAGTACAAAGGAAATGTAGGCCTTTGCATAGCTCATTATTAAGTTCCTTTTTTATTAACTCACTCCTGTTCCTGCCAACTGCTTTAGTTAGCTGCTTAGTGTGTTCTCCTAATTTCTTCTCCAGGCCTGGCAATCCAGTGGGGAGCCATTGGTGATGTGGGTATCTTGATGAAGACAATGGGAAACAAAGACATTGTGGTGGGGGGAACAATTCCCCAACAAATGAGCTCATGCCTGGAGGTGCTCGATGTTTTCCTGAATCAACCTCATCCTGTCATGTCCAGTTTTGTCCTAGCAGAGAAAGTCTCAGCGAAAGCTGAAGGAGGTAGTCAGCGGGATCTTGTAGAAGCTGTTGCTCACATCCTGGGTAAGTGCTGTCACTCAAGTACTACTGGATGGTGCCTACTCTCTCATTACCTTTGGAAAGCAGTGGTGCTGCTGTAGGTCCTCTGCTCAGCATCTCTTCCTGGTCCCCTGTGTTGTACCAATGTTGCTGTTGTGAGACTGTTGGCGCTTTTTTTTTTCCCCTTTACACTGCTCCTTCTCTCAAATAAGGACTGTTTCTTTTATGGGTTTTCCTCCGTTAATGTGTTTACATAGATATGCATATATACTCCAGAGTCTTGGGTTTTATTTAGAGTGAGCTGGTACCTTTCTCCAAGTGGAGAATCAACAGGGAACAGTCCCCAAGAGCAAAATTCTGGGACAGCACATAAGACAGTAAATACATAATTAACTTCCTGAGTATGGTTTCAGCTTTCAAATATTCACCTTGATATGTCACCATGCCACAAAAAATAGCTTTTTTCTACTTATTGCTTAACTGGTATTTTATTCACTTACCAACTCTGTCATCCCATGTGAACATCTAGTAACCATAGCTTAACTATGCATTACAAGTGCCATGCCCTTCTGTCTGTCTTGAATCTGCTTTCTTTTACCATTGTGTCTCTTATTTTTGTGTTGACACTGAATAATTGCTGTCAGCTCTGTCTATTATGTCCCACTTCAGTTGTCTCTGTTGCAGGCAGAACTGTCTAGTGACCCTTTGTTTTTTCCCAAAAAAGGTACTGATAAATAAAAGACAGTCTCCTGAGTATTACTTAAGGAGTTGTATGCAACTCACTGACACTGAGAAATCTGATTTCTCAGGGCAGATGTGGCTTTTAGAAGCAATAGGAAAGGGTCTGGGAAACCACACTGCTACGGGGTTACTTGGAAGAGGAGAGTATGAAAGCAACAAAGGAGGAGCTAGTAATGAAGCCTGATAGTGGGAAGGGTGGCAGCATGGGGCTGTTCAAAGCGCTGAAGATGCAAGTGTTATTATTAGAGGCCTTCTGCAGGTAAGGAAGGAGTGAGAGATTGAACAGTGAGAAAAATGAAGGAGAACAGGGATATGAAGCCTAAATGTATCACCTCCTCCTCCAGCGTTGTAGACATCAAGTGTTGCAGCCAACCATCACTGACATTGATAACTTCAGTCTCGGTGTAGCTGAGTGTTAGGTCTAGGACTGCAGTTTTCAATTAGAGCCTCCAGTGTGTGGAATTTGTCTAGCTGACTGACTGATCTGTATTTGGTCTAGAGCTGATGTGAAAATATTCACAGCTATTTAGTTGGGAGTGAGGTATCCCCTGTCATAAATCTGTGCACATTAATATGTACTCTAAATACTAGATCCCATATGACAAGGTGGGGGTTATAGAATAGGTGGTTTATGAAAGTACTAGATGATCCTGAAAGGTAAACTGCAGCTCTACAGCAGAAGTTTATTGAGAGAGAGAAGAGAGTGGAGAAGGCTGCTAGAGAGACCAAGAGCTGAAAAGAAATTGGCATTATGCTAGTATGCTCTTTTGTTCTCAGGGGTCCGTGATGTGAGTAGTCTGAATGCTGAGAGTTCCTTGGCTGACTTAGGCTTGGATTCCTTGATGGGTGTGGAGGTGCGCCAGACACTGGAGAGAGACTATGACATCGTTATGACCATGAGAGAAATTCGTCTCCTTACAATCAACAAACTGCGTGAACTTTCTTCGAAGTCCAAGACAGCAGAGGGTAAAGTGTCTGAATTAAGGTTGCTACCAGTCACCTGAATCCAAATAATTAAGCTTCCAATCTGTTGCTTTCATCTCTAGTGACATAAACCTCTATCAGATCATGAAATAAGGTTATAATTGAATAGCTTTTTAGTGACAGACATGTCACAGAAGTGTTTTGACCACTAGGACAGGCCCATCATTTCTGGGAGCAGGGTGTACAAGCAAGGCAAGTGTGCAGTCTGCTTTCTTGCATGGCTAGCAGCTGCATGCATGAGTACTCTCATGTAGCTAGGTGTGGGATGCAATTTGAGACCTTTTACTTGTCTAGGGAATAAACAATGTAATGTCACACTCACAGGAAGCTAAAATCATATGCAGTTGCTGCAGAAGCAGCTGACAGTAGGAAGATTTCTGCTTCTATGACCTGATGATGTAGTGAGGCAGCAGGCTAATCTAGGGCAGCCCTAGCCCTGAAGTTTTCCTTTAGGAGTATGGCTGCATGACCAAAACTGACCCTGAAGCTAATTGGGTTTGTCTGGTGTGCTTTCCTTCAAAGAGCTGAAGTCATCCCCACTGATGAAGGCAGGCCCAGGCGAACCTCCAAAACTAGATTTGAACAACTTACTGGTGAACCCAGAAGCACCAACAATCACTCGTCTAAATGATGTTCAGAGCATGGAGCGCCCTCTTTTCCTCGTTCACCCCATTGAAGGATCCATTGCAGTTTTCCACACTCTGGCCTCCAGACTTCACATGCCTTGCTATGGGCTCCAGTGCACAAAAGGTATCTCAGTTCTTCAGCATCTTGAATTTGCAAATATAACATTCTGAACTGTAGTTGCTTTTAGAGAGGGCTTTGTTTCTAGACTATTAAACTTGGAGGAGCAAGTATCAGGCCTATTAGTCTGCAGAGGGTCATGTCAAACATCCCCGGTATCAAGAAGAATAATGGATGAAATTGAAGAGTTTACGTATACAAAAGTCAAAGCATCCTGTTCAACCTGTCCTTGGAAGGCAGCAATATTACTATTACTTGTCCTAAATGCAAGTTGTTAACAATAATTTAGTAATTTACCTGCAAAATAACCTGAATGTTTCCAACAGGATTGTTTCTGAGTGCATGAAAACATCATTTGTCTCTGCCAGTGTCTTTTCACGAGTCTTTCTAACTCACTTCCATGTTCCAGCCGCTCCTTTGGACAGCATCCAAAGCCTGGCAGCCTATTACATTGGCTGCATGAAGCAGATACAGCCTGAAGGACCTTACCGCATTGCTGGATACTCTTTTGGTGCCTGTGTAGCCTTTGAAATGTGTTCCCAGCTGCAAGCACAACAAAATGCTTCCCATGCACTCAACAGTTTATTCCTTTTTGATGGGTCTCATTCCTTTGTGGCAGCATATACCCAGGTAAGGGCCCAAAGAGACTCTTCTTTCTGGGGACCCCATCCTCTCTCATCAAGGCTCATTTTTCTCAAAGCTTACTATTCTGGATATGAGCAATCTGAAAAGCTGACAGACTTTCACAAAGATTATGAAGACAGCTGTAGACAGTGGATGCTTAGAGATGGCTGAAGGGTAGAAGCACATGAGAGGTGGTCTTCATTAAATGGAAAGAGTTCAAGCACAAATGTTGCTCTTGCTATGATAAATCATAATATTAGTATGTCTTCTGGAAGATCCTAGTGCAAGTCAAGATCCTCTCGTAGTGGTGTGAGGAAACCTTGCTTAAGGGTTCCCTTTAATTTTCACTGTACTTTAGAGAATACTAGGCTCTTAGCAATTGCCACCTGTGGATTTGATTTCTAATCTGTCTTGAAGGGATTTTCCCCCTTCCTTTTTTTTTCCAGTTCACACCTTTGGTTCTATTATCATTTTTATCTGACTTTTAATATCGGGCACATTCCTCTCACATTCACATTGTATTCTTCTCTCTTCCAGAGCTACAGAGCCAAACTGACCCAAGGAAATGAGGCTGAACTGGAGACCGAAGCACTGTGTGTCTTTGTTCAGCAATTTACGGGCATCGAACATAATAAGGTACTGTGTCTTATCTTCAAAATCCATGTCTTGCTATTGCACAAGAGGGTGTATGTTTTTTTTGTTTAATTGAGATGAATTCTCAGCTGTTGAGACTAATGTGAAAAAAAATTTAATATTTCCAGCTGCTGGAGGTTCTTCTGCCCCTGAAAGATCTGCAGGCTCGTGTGAATGCTGCTGTAGACCTAATAACTGAGATTCATACAAACATCAATCGTGAAGCACTCAGCTTTGCTGCTACTTCATTTTACCATAAGCTGAAGGCTGCTGACAAGTATATACCAGACTCCAAGTATCATGGGAATGTGACACTGATGCGGGCAAAGTCTCGCAATGAATATGAGGAAGGTCTGGGTAAAGACTATAAACTCTCAGAGGTCAGTCATAGCCCCACTGATGACTGTTGAATTTCTTCTGGTATTTGGGGAAGCCAAAGGAAAGCATGGGAAATCACCCTTACTGAGAAAAAAAGGACAAAACCAACCTTAAAGACATTATTGTTCTGCAGCTGCTGTGCTCTAACAAGAATAAGAAGTCTCCAAAAGCAAATAAGTTTATTGGTTTCAGGCATTTTCTGTGGGTAGTGAGGGCCAGAAAGTCTTGCCAGTATATAGGAAATGTTTTCTATAGCTGATTCTTGCAGCTCTCTAGAATGACTTTGGATAATAATGATGTTAAAGGAGAGCAATCTCTTTTCACTGTAGACCCTGAAGCTAATTCACGGAATGAGGGCAGCCTTCTGAAGAGCAAGTGTCAGTCTTAGGACAATAAAGGCAGCTTTTTCTGAGTTACCTTTTTTTCACTTAGAAGGTAGTAGTTAAAGTGGGTTTCTTGTGGTCTAAAAAAAGTTGGGGTTTGGCCCATAGTCCAGATAAGGTTCTTCAGCTCCTGCTCACACACAAGGCTTAAATTGGTGCAAATACCAGGGAAAAGGAAGGGATTGTCAGAATTCCCTTCCTGCTTCTGGCATCTCCTATCCTTTCAGATACCCAGCTTAGTCATTATTGATTCCAGGCTAACTTATAGATTATTAAAGTTATATAATGACCTTCAAGGAAGCTTTCTGGTGGTGGGAGAAGGGGTGGGGGGGTGTTTTCTTTGCTTCAGGGCTTGGAAGTAGCTATTTTATCATTCATTCTTTGATACTGTTGGTAAATTATTCTTTTGGTACTAGGTTGGTTAACTTCCTGCCCAGCTTATATTTGAGTGGATCACCTGTCAGGTTGTCAGACTATTGTGCTTTAAAACACCCGTTCCAAACAGTGCACCACAGCTGATCTGTGAAAATGTGTCAGAGTAAAACTGGTGCCATTTTTAGCTGAGTTCGATAGAGCCAGTGGTCTAAATTATGACTAACTTGGAAGACTCACAAACCCAAAGTGGCTAGGTGACCAGCTGGTTGTAAATTGTGAATGAAAAGTTTTTCTTTTTCATACTTATGCAGGTATGCGATGGGAAGGTATCTGTCCACGTTGTTGAAGGAGATCACCGCACCTTGCTGGAGGGAGATGGTGTTGAATCAATTATTGGGATCATCCACAGCTCACTGGCAGAGCCACGTGTCAGTGTCAGAGAGGGTTAACTTCTACTTCCTCACTATCAATGATGAAGAAAATGCCAACAACATTCCTAGTTATGACAGGCCCCAAGGAACTCTTCCTGTTCAACATCTCATCTGCTCTGCTGCCAGAGCTGAGAAGTCCAGCTGGACTCAATTGGTCTTTTTTGTCTCTTTCTTGCTTATCTTTTCCCACATTTATGGGTTCTGTCTCCTTCCTTTCCTATGGCTGTTTTTCCCCCTAGTCTCCCTGTCCATGTTAACTGCAGTGCTGTGACTCTGTCACTGTGCACTGCAGTGAGGGTTCCCCACAGGTGGTTGCTTCCTACACCCTTGGCAGTATAAAAAAAAAAAAAAAAAAAAAAAAAAAATTAGGAGTAGATTTCTTGTGCTTTATGTTGGTTTTGTCTTAACAGTATTCCAAAGGGTATGTGATAGCACTTGTTGACCAAGCCTAGTGAACAGGGAGAGAAGAGGAGCTGCAGCTGATTTTGGAGATACTTTTTATCTATGAAGAATCTGTCTGCAGTTTAGGTCAGAAAGAGAATTCCATTGAGGGTTTTGTAACTATATTTTTTAATTTGCTATATTCTAAGTATTTATTGTGTCAAACCAGAGACTTCTTACTTGGTTTTAATTTATTGTGGGTTATAGGAGCAAAGAAACATCCTTTGTTGGAGGGAAAGGTTTATTCTACAAGGGAAAGTTGCCCATCTTTGAAATAATCTAATTTCTTGTTGGTTTTGTTGGGTTTTTTTTTCCTTTCTCCCACTGCCCTGACCTTTTCAGAAAGCATTAGGTAGAAGGAAGGATTCTTGCCATCATGTACTCTTCAGGGGAGAGAGGGGCCTGGGGGATAAGGTGGATTGTTTGACAGATGCTGCTGTATTGAACAGCCATAACTTGGGCATGATAAAAACAGGCAAAGCTGTCCCTAGGCAGGTACTTTGTTTATATTTGTGCAAGGTTCTGTGGCCTGTTCTAACAGAACCTCAGTAAAGCATTAGGATTATTGCTTTACCTTATTCCCTTTCACCTCCAGTCTTGCCACCCAATGAAAAATTTGGAATGGGGAGGGCGAGGAGTAGAATTCCTTAACAATAATTGAACAAATCCTCCCATCCCTGCTCTCCCATAATCAAAGCTCAGGCAAACATACAGGTATCTGCCCAAGGCCCGTAAATATTTTATTTAGCACAGGGCTTGCTTAAGCCTTGTGTTCATTTTCCTTTTGGTAATGAGACTGGAAATCCCACATAAGTTAGCTAAGTAATCAGTTTGATGGTCTGATTTTAAAATACAGTAGTACCTTTTTAAAGGAAATTTGCATAAAATTGAATTGAAAAATTTCTTGCCTTTGCTATGCTGGATCTGTCCTTTCCGAAATCAGTAAATCCTTGTTACACTTATGATACAGAGGAGACCTGGGTAGCAACAAAGCACCAGCTAGGAGGAGCTATTGTTCTTCTCCAAACTGCTGTAAAACCCCTCTTCTCTTCATTCCCCAGTAAAGTATTCTGGTGGTACAGGAGCATTCCAGTGACAGGAACAGATGGCTCTTCACTGCAGGTTCTGACCTAGTGTCTTTTGCTTATACCACCCTCTGTTGATAGTGGCTGGGTTAACTGATTTTAGTTTTATAAAGTATTTCTTTTGTGAAATTGAAATAAAACAACATAATGTCAGCTTAAACCATTTTGAAATGTCTTGTTCTTTTTTCTTTTCTTTTTTTTTCTTTTAATTAATACTTTTTGGTCTGAAGAGTGTCTTTTTGGCTTTTCTAGAATTAAACAGAATTCATCACTGGTTGGGTTTTGAATTCTTTTCTACCATTTCTTAATCCCATGTTTCATCTGGAGTCTCTCACTTCTTGGTATAAAGCAAAAAAACTGCTGCTAACATATCTGATTTGTAGTCTATAGAAATAATAATAGTAATAATGATAAAAATAACAACAATGAAGGCTTAATATTCTGAAGCATGGCTTGTTGTTGCCATGATTTTGGTACCTTAGATACAACCAATTTACAGCCATAATATTCAAGTGGGGACTTTTAGATGGGCTTCTGTTTGCAGTATTGGACAAGCCATTAATACTCCTGCTTCAGTTTCCCTGTCTATAAAATGGGACCATAGCATCTGCCTCAGGGCCTCTCTGAGAGTCAGACACGCAATGGCTATAAATGCTCTGAAGTTTTTGGTATGATGTCCAAGTGTTAGACAGTAACAGAAGGAGGAAAGTGTCTGCTGTGTGAGGCATACTGCATACTAATACTGGAGTGGCTGTGTAAGCTGTGTGCATATACCATGGGACTTCATGATATCTACTGCCTACTGTCCCTGCGCCTGCTGGCATTGGGTATTACATAAAACAAAACCAGTGGGGACTAGTTGGTTTGGTTTAACTTCTGGCAGTTGTAGTGAGCCTGAAAAAAAGGGGAAAGAATCCTACTTTTGTGTTGGTTATATTTAAAACTGGAAGGAATAAGAAAGGATTAAATGTAAAGCAAACGGGTACAATAGTGCTGTGCTAATGTGTGTAAGATCTGAATGGACTGTGTGGAAGGAGCAAGGACTAATGCCGTCCCATCTCTTGAAGCAGGAGTTTGATAAGCTCCCTGTATAAACAAATCTGTTTGGTTTCATCTAAGCAGAGCTTGAAAATACTGTTTTAGTCAAAGAAGTTGCTGAAGAATAACTTACAGCTCATATACTGTTAATGTTCTTGTGGTTGTTATTTGAAAAGCAGAAGATTGTTATGTTTAGGGCTTTTTTCCCCATAATTATCTGATTATGAGCTACTGCCATGTAAACCATTATTATAACTGGCTGCTGGACGCAGTGTGCCAAAAATAAAAACCTTATTAGTGCTGGTATTGCTTGTTTCTCAGTAGCCCATCAGATTAGACACGTAGAATAATATCAGAGGGCAAAATCCAATATTGCAGTTTCTTGTTTTGAGAAGACAAGGACAGAAGTGAAGTCCCTCATACCTACCCTTTCTGTGAAACTGAAGTGGGGATTCTTGTCAGCTGATGCATTCCATCCTTTTCAGATAGCTTCTCACAGGCTAAAACCATGCTGATCTCAGTCTCAAGACTGAAGAGCAGTTCTCTGACTGGGGAAGTGTTTAGGATCACAAATGCATATTGCCATTTTGAAATGATGGACCATGTACCTTAAATCTGCAATAGAAAGAGTTCAAGAATGTAATGGCACACAGCATATGTTGTCACCAGTATTAAAGCTATTATTTTCCTTTTCTAGTCTACCACTTTAGAAGGCAAAGAAATACAGCTCTCTTGCTGAAGATAGCAGTAAAAATAATGCAAGAAGGGCCACCGTTTAATAGAACTAGTTACATAAAATAGCACTACTGAAGCGATACACGGAATAAATAGACTCCACAACCAGAGATAGTTATGAAGTGGGTATGTATGTCGGCGCCCGGCACAAGCGAGATAGCTCTCGTGAAAAACTTGTGCCCCGAGCTTCAGTCTGACCCACCTCTTTATTCACAAAGGTGTTCCATATGCAATAATTTGCACAATTTTTTCATGCATATTCAACCCCTGGCCCCGCCTGTCCTCGCCTCGTATGCTAAATAGTTCCACGCCCTTCTGGGCATGCGTGGTTCGTGGTTCGCTGTGGTGGTCGCACGGGGGTCTTTTGGTGGTCTCTGAGGCTGAAGGTTGTGGTCTTCCTCCTGGCTGAACTTTTGAACTTTTCCATTTGCGCATGCGCCCTTGGTCTCTTGGTGCTTCTCTGAGTATGTCTGTGGCTTTGATTAACTTGGAGCCAGAGGAGCTCCTTTATCTGGGTTCCCTTGGTCTCCTCTGGTATTGTTCTTTATGCAAGAAGCTTCAGAAATTTGCATTTCCTATGCCCTTTGTACCATGGCAGGGGTTTCTTAATCAGCAGGGTTAAAATTCAACACATTTAAAATGTGTTGAAACTTAAATGCTTAAATCATATTGCTAATTCAAGTGCATTCAAAAAATCTCTATTTCACTACCAGAAAGTGAAGTTCTCTGATGCTGAGAATGGAGGTCAAGTAAAACCCAAAAGACTTAAGGTAGAATAGGAAGCAGGTGTTTGTTTCTTTTGCACTTCAACAAGTTACGAGACATCATGCCTGCAAATCAGGTCAAAAGAAAGAAAAAAATACCTCTGGAGCAGTTTCATCACAGGAAAGGAGAGTGCTAATAGCAGGGGTGCAAAGGCTGTATATTTAAAATAGCAATCTTGTTCTTTAGGCTGCAGAGAGGCAGACTTAACAGGCTTACTGAGCAATGGGAGTATACATGTAACTCTGTGTACACTATGGTGCTTTGTTACGACTTTGTTAAGAGTTTTTCTCTCCTGAAGAAAAGAAGTCCTGTAACTCAAGTTACATTGCTGTTTTGACTGGAGTAGAGATAGAGCATTTTTTATATGCTGGAAGGTATTGGCTGAGAGAAGCAGAACTCCTCCACTGTACTTATCCTGGTGATGATCAAAAGCTTTATAAAATGATGCAAAATGAACGATATTGCCATGGATGCTGTTACATTTGGTTCAGTCATGTGGACCATTTTCACCTCTCTGCCCCTACCATCCGACACCAAGGACAGGACAGGCCTCGCACTTTGTCCGAGCGCTTGCAATGCTCAGTCACGGCGTTTCCCGTCGGCACCGGCTGCGGCGGAGGCCCAAGCGCTCAAAGACGCCTGGCTTAGGCTCGGGGACAAAGGACGGGAGTCGCTGCCGCGCTGCGCGTGGCGCGTACCGGCCGAGCGCCGGGGCTCCGTGCGCCGCCGGGGCACATGAGGGGAGACCGCCCGCGCACGGCGCCCCTCAGCCGCCCCGCTGCGGCTCCTCAGCCGCCCCGGGCAGCGCGGCGGGGCCCCACGGCCGCTGCGCCTCTCCCGCGCGCGGCCCCTGCTGGCAGCGCCGCTGTTTCTGGAGGGGACGGCGCGCGGCTGCACCGCTGAGCCGGCCGGAGCGAGATGGCGGTGGCACCGTCCGGCTGCGCCGGTGCCCGGCCCGGGCGCAGCGGTCGCGGCAGCCTGCGGGCCTCAGGCCGCGAGCCCCGGGGCGGCGGCGCGGGCCGCCAGCGGCCGCAGCGCTGCACGGGCGAGCAAGCGGGAGATGCCGAAGCTGCGCGGAGAAGCCTTCTGGAGGGAGACGTTGCGGAGCGCCCACTACGTGGTGGCGCCCATGGTGGACCAGAGCGAGCTGGCCTGGAGGCTGCTGAGCCGCCGCCACGGCGCCCAGCTCTGCTACACACCGATGCTGCACGCCCAGGTCTTCCTCAGGGACGCCAACTACCGCCGCGAGAACCTCTACGACGAGGCCTGTCCCGAGGACCGCCCGCTCATCGTGCAGGTGAGCGCGGCCCCTGCCCCGACTTCCCCTGTCAGCCCCAGCACCGGGAGCAGCGGCGGCGGCTGCCGAGAGCAGCTTCCCTGGGCTCACCTTGCGGTGCTGTTCTCGGGTAACTTTGAGGACGCGAGTCAGCGTTGCCAAACGCACCTATGCCTTCCACCCGCTCGTGCTTACAAATCCAGGCCTTTCCCAAATGTGCATGAGTTGAAGGTAGTCAGCCTCATCCACATTTTAACGTGATTCTAGAGAATGACAGAAATCTCATTTTCTTCATCTAAATACCGCTGACAGTTCATGAAGATGTGTCTTTTTCTGTTTAGCAGAGGATTTGCTGTCCTAACCCAGGGGCCTGGAGCACTGGACTTCTCAGAGGGTTTCAGTCCCCCGCAACTCATCTTTAGAAACAGATTGCAGTTGGTCTTGTAGAGTCTGGGTGTGTCCTGGACCTGGTGCCACTCGAGGATCACAGCTTTTTTGAGTATTAATCTAAAACCCTGAACTCAGTGTTTAGCTATAGAGAAAGGATGCAAGGAAGATAGGAAAGACTTTAAAGCATATGTTGCTTCTGTTTCTGGTCTACTGTGTGATGTTAAGGTATTTCACTCTAACCCAAAGAGGGAAAGTGGCTTGTGGAGCTGGAGAATAATGCCGGCAAAGACGGCTGTCATGAGCAGAGGAATGACTGATTTCTACACATGGAGCAGTTAAATGGATGAGGACTCTTTACCCTGGAAAAGAAGTGTCTCCCTTGACAGAGGGGAGAGATAAGAGGAGCCTGTGGAAGTATTACTGGCTTGAGGATGATGAATGGGAAACAAGTAAGCGTAGTGGTAGTTATAAACTGTGAAATTCATTGCTGTGGGATGTACTGGATTCTGGAACATTACATGAGTCTAGAAAGCAAATGAAGGAAAACGCTTGAGGGTCTTTAGGTGCAACAAACACACCTTCTGTTTCCAAAGTCCATAAAGAAACTTTTTTCAGCTTCTGGTGTTCCCTAGACATTTTGTTGTTGACCTTTGATCTGTCTCAGTACAGCTGTCACAGAATCTGAAATATTCTGGGTTGGATGGGACCCACGAGTCCACAGCCCACAAGTACATTGAGTCCAACTCTTAAGTGAACTGTCTGTACAGGGATAGAACTCACAGCCTTAGTGTTATTAGCTATACCATGCTCTAACCAAATGAGCTAATCTCAGCATCTCATACATTCTTCTTCTGTGGGAGGTAGTTTCGTTTGACACAGAAAAATAAAAGTGGCGAAAATTGAAGTGATCTTAGAAAGCTGTAAGTCACAGATCTTCAGCTCAGTAAGCTGTGTGTCCTG